AATTGGAGTTACTTGTGAGGCTTTCTCACAACACTACTGCTTTAGATTACTATGTAAACATTATCAACCATATCTCATTTATGATTGATAATTATGGTTAATTACTTTTAATAAAGTTCAGAATCTTCTTTTAATTAATTTATCTAATTACCTTATATTTTTATTAAGATTATTACATTTTATTTCATATTTTCTTCAAGAATTTCTGAATGCATATTAATTTAAAACCTGTGCTAAAAACTGCACATTTGAAACGAAATATCTGAAACTGACTCAGCAAGCACAAAAAGTTGAGTCAACTCATGCAGTCTTTGACCATCTAGGAGATATTGCCTCTGAACTCATTTCTAATTCACACTAGTTGTGTTGGTTTTTACAATGTATTGTCACAAAATCACTAATAAACAATTTATGTTTCTCAAAAGCATTTATCTCTCTATGAAATTTCTGCCAAGAAGACAACGTAAAATCTGCCTGTAAACAGGTTTATTGATTGATTTTCAGGATATAATATGCAGGTATGTAATGAATAATGTTTTCCCAAGTCAATGTTAAATCATCTTTCTTTTTTGCCTTTTAAAATGGCCAAACTGCACCAACCTTGTTGCCATTTAACTGTGCTTCAATATTTGAAGGCTACAGGCATTTCAACAATGATAGCATACAAATGGTTACCAAATTATGTTCTAGCAGGTCTTCCTTTGCAATTATATATATCAACGTTGCCACTTAAATCGGCAGACAATCTAAACAATGACTACTGGATATGAAATTTAAGGTAAGTGGATGTTTTCTATGCAAACTGCACACCAATTTTGGTAATCTTCATATTCCATGTTTGAACAGTATCTCAACCATAAGAGAAAAGGAAATTTGGCAAAATCACATTAAAATCAAACAGTATAGGGATTTCATTTGAATTTGACCACTCATGCATTAAAAATTTCATACAGAACAAGTGTGCTTTTTTTAATGAAAATGAAAGTCTGGCACACTCATGCATATGTATATACCGTAATTTCAGGAAGAAAGGCCGCATCAGTGTAAACACCGAACTCGAGAAAAATGGCGGGAAAAAAACTAAAATTACACAGAAATGCCGCAATAGATTAAATTGCGCGTGACTCGTCATGTTCCGTATAGATCAAAACTCAACCTAAGTCCTGATAGATAACATACCATTTAAGAAAAATACTGAAATAACCATAACTCAAAATAAAGGTAAGAAATGTCGAGCTTCTGTGCCGTTTAAGCCATTTTAAAAAATTTTCCGCTCCCTAATAAAACTATCCACAAGTACTTGTACCCAAACTGATGACTTATTTGCAGAATGCCAAAAATCCATCATCTGAAGGAATAGTCAGATTCGTTTTTCGGCGGTGAGTCGTGCCCCTTTGAAAAAAATTGCAGAAAAGAAGGGTGGGAGAGATGGTCCTGGAGATTCATTACATTGCATAGAGAGAGACTATTCACACTGATGAAATTTGATTTGAAAGGAAATTTCTTGTTCTGAGATCCGTTTAGGTGAATAAGGCTGTAGTCCATTCGAGGGAGAATGTAACAAAACGTTCGCAAAAGCACTGTGGCTTTTGTGTGGGACAGCAGCAGTCTATCACATGACAAGGCCTCCAAACTATGTAATACCTTTAGGAATATTTTATTTTAGGGCCCTAAACCCGCCCCGCTGAAAATTTAAGTTTTAAACACGTAAACGCCGCAGCGTTTTTTCCGGAAATTACGGTATTTGAACATGATTGTGGTTTGATTGGAAAAATTTTATGTAGAGCAATTGGGTGATTTTTATTCTTTGGATATTTCAGATATTAAATCACAGATATTGGAAAGGGTTACAGTTGACTTTAAGGTACCCCTTATATTATCGCAAAGTTGTTTCATTTATCGTCAAGTTGTTGTATCATTTATGGTAACCTGAGTAGTTGAATATTATGGAAACCTTATTATGACATAACTGTTTGCATTATTCTGGGAAATTTTGAATCAAGGGATGTTCTGCAAAGGCTATTGTCGTGTGTGCTGCTTAGTAAGTATTTGCTTGTTTCATTGTTTAAACGGTACAATGACTGAATGTAGCAGGATTAATTTGAAGTTTCTGTACGATTTAGAACAAAAGGGGAAAAGTGCATTAATTGTGTAAATGAAGGTTTACTTAGTAGCCATAGTCCGAAACTATGTAGTATATTTTTGATTCTTATTTTTGTGAATTTCTGTGGTGTACAGCATAGTTTGTGCAATTCAGGGATTTTTTTTTAAAGTGAAAATAGGTCGATGTGTACATGGATACAGAGTTTGTGTAATTTGTTTGCAGACTTGTTATTTTGGTTTGCGTGGCGGCAACGCAGGCCAAAATAACAAGTCAAAACGTTGCACACACTCGGTATCTATGTACTGCCAAAAATTGCCAAGGGGTACTCTAAAATATACTTTCACCTTGGAAAGATTTAGGGTATAAAAGAGGTGAATGACTGCATGGCTAATATTTTATGATTTTGGCAATGCAAGAGAAGATAGCTGTTTTAGACTGGTATATGAAAGTAGGTTCAATTATGCCTACGAGCGTGCAAAACATAGGAACAACACATATTTACATGAATGAAAGGGACAAATTAATGAATCTGGATAACATTTTTAAAAACAATGTACTATGAAGCTGGAAGATATTTAACCGTAGAGTGAGGAAAGGTTCATGGTTTAAGCATGGTCATTTGAGCATTCGTGACATTCTATGGATTACAAGAAGCACTGTATATATCGCATTGGGTAAACACAGACGGCAAATGAGAAATTCGTACTGAGTGATTTTCATGGCCTCCATTAGCAAAACAGCATCAAGATTATTACCAAGCTGCCATATCACTCAAATGCTTTTAATATGGCACCAGAAAGCTTATCTTTCTCACAGGATTTTCACCACATGAATTTTGAAAGATACGACTCTAGAAGACATTGAGTTATATCTCTTTGTTTCTCGATACAATCTTTACATTCTTTCCACATTTTGAACCTGTTGCTGAATCAACAAAACAATTCTTTCCTCGTTTTGGACCTGTTGCTGAATCAACAAAGCAATGTGTGATGCACAGTTAAATGGCTGTAACAAATCTTTTCAAGCTCATCTGTTTTATAGGTTTGCTAACAATCTGAATACATTTTCAATCCTTCCAATAAGTGGTCTACAGTGTGTTTGCTTCCCGATTTGGAACCTGAACAAGACAGTACTTGTCACTTTCATGGCATAACACGCAGAATATTTACAATTGTGGAAGTACCCAGTCAGCATTGTTTATTCAAAGTGCGAACAAACTGTTGGGATTTATTTTAGGTATATTATTGCAATGAACATCTGTTATTATTTATTTATCAAATAGTGAAATTAGCCTTTTGTTTGGCTACTATGTTTTATATTATTTGGCGATTTATCACGGAGGCCATGAAAATCAAGTAGTATCGAGAAATTTTATATTTTTGTACAGTACTGTCATTTTGTGCCTGTTTCCACAGAGTGTTTACTGGAACTATAAGGTGAATGAAAACCTTCACAAAAACGCACTTAATTGACGATTTTTGAAATCATGCCATGCTCTGGGCTAAAACATAGCATCGATATTTGATACATTTCAAAATTGAAGCAATTTTTCATTTAGATTCTATACTCAGAAGACTGATTTATTACATTTCACAGATAAACAATATTTGTTAAGATAACAGCTTACCTTTCAGAAAGTTTTTGAAAATTAAGTGAGATTATACTGGAAAAATTTTAACTGAAATTATGATAAGTAGCAGGCATTTAATACCTACATAAATGCACTCTACATGTTATTTTAAGGAAGCACATCCGCAGAGAACCCGGTAAATGTAAACATCGCCAACTTTGCCGATAATAGTTCAAACCTGGTAACCCAGCGGATTTATCCTATTCGCTTGGCGAAGTTATCGTTGTTCGCATTGGAGATTTATTTATTCTTCTCTATTTATTGTTATTTTTTCTGAATTTTTTAACAACAATAGATAAAATTTTTCGCTAATTAAAGAATTTTCGTCGAAAGAGCGGTTCTGGCTCGTCATTCAGGATCAAAGAAAAATATGCGGAGGTATGCTAATTTTCACATGCTGTTCACGTTATGTCTTATATTACATTGTAAGCACGCAGAACCATGAGGTTTCCAATCCTCAATAATTTTTAAAATGTATAAAGTCTATATTTATTAACGTAACAATGCGCGGAAGAAATTTCATGACTGTTAAGGTTATTGTTGTGAATATATCATGAAAAGACGGTATTTGTGCAACGTAAAATGCTTTAACTGTATCAAATACTTGGAAAAAAAAAAAAAATACTGAAACCTATGTAAAATGATGTATTAAGGTCTGCTTCATTAATTTATTCATGGGCATGCTCTTACCGATAATCAATCAACAGGCAAGTAGTTATAATGAAAATGCACTTTAAAAATATTAGTATTCATATGAATTAAGAAATACTATATATAACGTCAACGTAAGATAAGAATACAATTTATTTTTAAATGAATTTTCTATTTCCCGTTTGCTAATCCCTGTTTTTCTGGCAACTTGAATTTAATAATTTATTTCGTATATCACGTTTAACCGTTAGTTTTACATCTACACTTTTAATCTTGAATTTTACGACCATGTCTGCTAACTTGAATTTTACTACACTAAAACCACGTTACGCTCGGCTCATTGAGCTTGGCGGTAAAAGGCACGGCGCCAACGGTTCTCTGCGGATGAAAACCCTATTTTACTTCTTGAATTTATGTAAAAATTTTACATTCATATATAAAAATTTCAAAGAAAGGAAGATTTTTAATACGATAATAAACTACTCCTAAATCCTACAATGCTCTGTACACATATACTTGCAACTACAATAAATGCAACCAAACTAACAGCATACTTGTAAATGTGGAGGAAGAATTTTTTCTGCCATAAACACCACACACACACATGAAAATGTAAACAATGCAGCCTTCTCAGTATTTTATTATGATCTATAATATTTCACAAATTACAGCTGCTACTAATATTTTGTTCCTATTTCATAATTAATACTTTTTACTTTTTTTCAGCAGTTTCACTGGGTAATGGCACTTCTTTTATAGAAGCAGATTCGGCACTGTATGCAGGAAATTGTTCCCAAGGGCCAACCAAGTCAAATTTGCGGAATTCTTGAGTTAATTCCAAAGGTTCTACTACAACGCGTTTAACTTCATCATCATATCTCACTTCCACATAGCCACTCAAAGGGAAATCTTTCCTGAAGGGATGACCTTCAAAACCATAATCTGTCAAAATCCTTCTCAAATCAGGGTGATTACTAAAATATACGCCAAACATATCCCATATTTCACGTTCATACCAATTAGCAGCTTTGTAAACTTCACATGCAGAATCAATTGGGGTTAATTCATCGGTATACGTTTTCACTCTGATACGCGCATTGTATCTCAAACTTAACAGATTGTACACTATTTCAAATCTGTATTCTCTTGTGGGTACATCAACTCCAGCAATATCAACAAGCGATTCAAATTGTGCAAGATGGTGATCTTTTAGAAACGTTAACACAGGAATGACACCCTCAGGTGCAATCATGACTTCTAATTCATCTCCATTTGCAATCTGCACTTTTTGGACATATTTAGGCAAACATTCAGCTACAAAAATGCCATATTCACTCAACTGTGATGTCTTCAATTCATCTGTTGGCCTAATTGTGGGTTTTGTTTCCGTTTTGTTTGCCTCTGAAGCAAAAGCAGCTTTGGTTGTTGATAACATCCATCGTTTATCTTTTAAAAACAGTGATGTTTTTAAATATCTCATGGGTCGAATGCATCGAACAAAGGAAGAAAACATGTTAAATATAATATAATTCAGAGGTTAAAGTATTAACTATTCACCAATGACAAAAGACAGACAGACAGAATAAACAGATGTCCTATTTTGCACTCACTGAGTCTTTCCGCCCGCAGGGCGAAAAATCAAGCGTAGAAGAACATTTTGTCTGAGAGATGCGATAATTTTGCTTCAATCAATCATTTTTTACAGATTTTTCACTTTGTTAATGTGAAATATTTTGTCTGCATTTAATATTAATTCATTTAACGAGTTTTTATACACTCACAAGTTCTCAGATTAAAAAGAAAGCTAAGCTATTTTTTTTATGTTGTTTGTCTTGAGAGTCTTGTGCTTACAAAAACTGTTATAGGTTTGGCAACAATTGATATGTTTACGAAATTCAGCGCCTTGTCATGTGCACAGGGCAGTCGCGAAGCTTGATGATTGCTTAGCGTGATGGCTTAAAATTACCGAATATTTCGCAGAGTGAGAGAATAAATATCAAAGCCTGCAATGGCAAAATTTTTATATAGAGAGTTCTGCAATCATGTTTATTTAGGGCAATGGGAGTTGGCTCGAGCTTGTGCTATAGCTTTAATAAAGAATGATACTCATGGAAATAATGAAAAGGAACTATTGCTTTCAACGCTGAAAAATCTTGCGAAGGATCCTTTTTTAGCTAGGTAAATCGAAAGTACAATAAAAGTTCTGTGTTAAAACTTAAAGAAACTACTGGGTTTTTTATTAGTGCAATTTTTAATATGAGAAATTGTATTTTGTGCTCATAAATTGATGCTATATGTGTGATTTTTAGCATTATTTTCAATTAAATGTATGGGTTTAAAGTTTTTTTTTTCTTTTCATTTTTAGTAGGTTGGTTCTGAAAGTTTCGTTTTCATTTATAACTAATGAGGAATAAATCAAAAACTATAAACAAACTGTTAACTTCCTTTTGTAGTTAAATTAATCACTCCTAAAATGGTTGTAAAAGACAAACATTTATTTAAAGATAAATCTTAATAAACTACACGTAACGTAATCGTAAACGTACATAACATAACAAACGTACTTACTGCATCGTACCATTGAACATTTAAAGCGTACATCATCTCAAAGTATATTTTTAAAATTATAAATAGAACGACATCCAGAAATTAGCTGTTGTCATTTCTCAATAGATATTTTGTCTAATAACAATTAAATAATTTACACTTGTGCTTACAAAACTAAGGGCAAAATCCTAGAAGAGCCCACACCCTTGGCTACAAACTGGGAAAGTGCACACTGCTTTACGCATTTCTCAAAATTGCCATTTTGAAAATTACAAGTCAAAGAATTGCACAAACTCGGTATCCATGTACACATTGACCTATTTTCACTTAAAAAAACATCAGAGAATTTCAAAAACTTGGCACTGCACACTCCCTTGACTTTGTCCATGTACACATCGATACGCACCATAACCAAAATCATTCGCACCAAGGGTGTGGGCTCTGCTAGGATTCAACCCAAACTAAGAGAAAAATGAATATGTATTAAAGTATATTATGCAAAATTTTGCTGTGCTGTGTTTTTTATAGAATATGCAGTGGTATCTTTATATTTGATACATCTGTGTACACCATTAATTTGTTCCAGATCCTTGGATGTATACAAAACACAAAATCGTAGGTAAGGTTTTCAGTGACTGGAGACAGCTGAAGATTTGGTAACCCTTGGGGACAGATGTCTCCCCTTCTTCTCTTAGCTATGCGGTTGACAAAATAAACTTTCCAAATAGAAAGTAAAGGGAGAATAATCAAGCTGTTCTTATAAATAATTCTATTGTTGCTGTTATAACACTGTTTACTGTACTAAAATACAGTGGGTGAAATACATATATGGTATGACTAAATAAAACACTGCACATGATATCATTCATAAATTTTCTGTTATTCAGGTAAAAAGCAGTTTTGAAACAAAGGTATGGCATACAAGAGCTAAGTTCTAGATATGCATCCCATCTTCATACTTTTCAACAATCTCTACAACTTTTCAACAACCTTTATGGTGATCCTAACAATTTTCTTGGCTTCTTCATATCTTTTTTTGTTCTCATCAGCTTTCCTAAAACTGTTTATGAAGGAATTTACAAAAAATTTGGGCAGAAAAATATCGCAAGAAATTAAATTGCAAACAAATTCAAATTCATTAAAAATTCAAGTTATAGCACAGGTTGTTTACTGAGTAGTAGTATCAGGCCTACTTATGCTCAAGGGCAGTTATAACATTGTCTCGAAAATGGAAACAAGTGTATTGCACACAGGTATGACTTGTCAAATTCAAGTCATATTCCAGATAAATATGATATATCACTTGTCGCCAAACTTGACTTCTGAGCTACCATACCGTTTTTAAATCCTACTGTGAGCTACCCAAAAGAACTACCAAGCTTTTTTAAAAATCTTATATTTGTTTATTGCTTGTAAACTTACATTTCTAGTAAATTTGAAATCAATTTTAATTAAAATGTATATAACAAAACGAAATTGAAATTGAATTGTAAATAAGAAAGAAAGGAACTACTCTTATATGCACCCTCAAATCGACAAATTTGTAGCCAAACATTTTTGCCGAAAATTCCACAGTGCCATATTACTATCTTTTTTTTGGTCTACATTTCGAACTGTAAGCCTAAAATGTCTCCAAAAACGTGGTTTTCACATGTGCAAAAACCATGTTTTGAACACACAATTTAAACTAAAAATCTGAAACAAAAACAAAAAATTTAGATAGCAAAAGCATAAAGTTTCTAACTAAAAATATTTGACAAGAATCCATGTACACAGCGATGTGTTTTAACTTGAAAAAAAATCTGCGAATTGCACAATCTAGGCAGCAAAAGAATCTATGAACTACGCACACATCGCTTTAACCTTTTCGTGATGGCGCACCTTTTTTTAAGACGCTCATGCGGGGCGGAAGGGAATCGAAGGCAGTCACCATACAGGACGGAAGTTTTGCATCGCTAAGGCTAATTTTATAAAAAAAAATCAGAAAAAAAAAGTTTCACTTCTAGCCTCGTAATTTTTGGTATCATTTTAGATTATTACATGAGCTCCTATATATGTTAAAATTAGCACTTAATGTTTTTTTCTTTATTTTACATGAAAATATACTTAAAAATTTCCTTATCTAGTAAAATAATTTTTGGAAGCACTATTCAAATTATTAAAAAGTTTTAATTGATAAAATCCATCAATACAGTCTAAAATTAATAAAACAATGCAATAAAGTCTATTTACAGTAAGAAGTAATAAAATTTAAAATGAAGACTGAGTGTGGTAAATCTCGAAGCACAGAGAAGTATCACTTTTAGAAAAAGTATCACTTTTTAAATCTTTAGAAAAAGAATCGTCACTGTCATCTGCATTAGTAAATGGTTCATTTACCATACGAGGGTATATTCTTCCTCTGATAAATAGCGCCTTCGCGCCATAATAGACTAGAGGTGAGACTTCCCAAAATAAAAAGAGAAAAAACGGGAATATATCTGAAGTCAATGCAAAACTGACTGGGCTGTCTAGTAACCCTAAAAGACTGTATATAGTAGAGGAAAAAATAGAATTAAAAAAGGAATTGGATATAAATCAAGAACGCAAGTATTTATATTAGCACGCAGCGATTTAAAGAGCCCACCTCTGTTTACGCTTTCGCTTCCCCACCCCACCTTTGCAACAGTTGATGAGTAAAATACCAAAGTCAGACAGAATATATCAAACTCAAGGTCAGGAACCTAAAACTGTGTTCATTTCAAAAGTAATGAACATAGAATGCCATCTAGTGGCCTTCAGAAAAACGTTCCAGCTTAAAATGCGTATACGCATCACCCATCCTCTGAATGCAGTCTCTAGCGATGCCTGGATGGGACGCCCGGCTGTAAGAGACGTTCTTAGGGAATGTGTATATGGGACACCCGTCCTGAAAGGGTTAATAAATTAACATAACAATAAATTTCAAAGAATACCATGTACACAGCGTTTTGTTTCAACTTTAAAAAGTAAATTACACAATCTAGGCACTATGCACTAATCAACAAAATAAACTAAAATAAATTTAGTGACAGAAATTCATACTAAAAGAACAGTGAACATAATATTCTACAAAATAAGAACAAGAATAAAATAAAATACACTTAAATAAATGCTTTTGCAAACAGCAGAAATACCAATTTCATGCCACCATAATCACTATCGCATTATAATAATACATAATCACTATCATATTTTATATGACAGCCAGACACACTATCTAGAAAATTCATACTAGGGTTCACAAATAAATGTTCAAAACTTTCTTTTCCTAAATCCTTGTAAAATTTCCAGGCATCCAAAAAAAATAGTTGTACAAGGCTCAACCCACTCTTTAATACACTGCATCAACGTTTCTTTACTTCTATCATGCACAGCCACTAAAAATAATCTCCCAGAACCTCTTTCAACCACGTCTCTCATTGCAACATAGGCCATTTCAGAACATGCACGACATGAACCAACGACCAATTAAAACAATCCAGCAAAGGAGTATTAAACGTCAAAAGGGTTGCCATACAACACGCAATTGTGCCAAACACCAGCGCAGAACACATATCACCACATTTAGTGATCTTAGGGCGCATATATGAGTAGAGCCGAAAGAAACTGAAGCATACACGTCAACTTATTTTCACTTAAAAAAAATCCAAGGAATTGCACAAACTTGCACTGTGTACTACCTTCACTTTGCCCATATACACATCGATATATTTTCACGTAAAAATTCAAAAGAGCACCCAATTCTACAATACAGGCAAACAAAAAATACATCATCTCAATAAATTACATTTTAAACCAGACAATCGAATAACGTAAAAAAGGAAAAATATGTTATACTTTTAAGCACTACAAAAAGCAAATATGCACTTACCCTATTTAGAAGTTCCTTTGTCTTTAGTCTGTGGCACAAAAATTTGTTAACAGCATCCAAAAATTTCCTAAAATTATCTGAACTCGAATCTGTGTATTAGCGGCGCCACATCTGAACCTTTCTTCCTACAAACCCATTCAAATCCATCTAAACGGTTTTTATGTTCAACTAGATGCAGTGTCTAATGTCTTTACTAAGTAAACCTTCGTTTACACAGTCAAATAATGCTCTTTTCCCCTTTCATTCCGAATCATGCAGAAACTTTAAATTAATCTCACTACATTCAGCCATTCTACCGTCTAAACAATGAAACCAACACACACCACAAAAGTGCTTACAGAACATCCCATGATTAAAAATTTTCCAGAATCATGCATCCAATTACATCACAATAGGGTTTTCATAACATTCAACTACTCAGGCTACCATAAATGAAACAACTTTGCCATAATGCAAGGGGTACCTTAAAGTGTACTCTAACCAGTAAATGATATTGAATTTTTACTTTGTTATTTAAAAGCATTTTTATTATAATTTAATATTTATTTTGTAATTGTTTTAATTTTTTTATTTTAGATCTGCATGGGGGACTTTACCATCTCCAAGCTACATAAACTTTTTGTCATGTCAGTTATTGTTGGATTTAGGATATACAGTAAGACTGAATAATTCTTATTGTTTTCATATTAGTAATATAAATATTTTTTCTTTGAAATAGGATATCCAAAACAGATATACTTCATTCAGATATGCAAAACATTAAGATCCAGTGTGACATTATTCAGATTTTTAAAATTATATTGATATATTTAATCTTCCAAAAGAAGTCTGTATGAAAAATAATAATTAATACAATATCTTACATCCAGAGGTCCAGTATCTGGAATAATGTAAAATCCAGTCCACCAGCAATCTTTTTTTTTTTTTATAAGAAATTTTTTAAAAATCTTTTTTTACTCAGGTGCATTTGATGCTTTTTTCTTAATATATAACATGTCCCAATTCTTAACACGTCGACTGCCCAACATGAGATAACTCATATTAGCGCTTTTCTTCAGGATGTCCAATACAAGTCATCTCGTAGTTTTTTGACTTGCCACTTTTGCGTTGCTACAAGTTAGTTATTTGTTTATTGCTTGTTTTAACTGTACTGAAGCGACAAGTTGAAGCATGTCTGTATGAATCAGCTCGTAGTGGGCTTCTGCGAAGCGTAATTTATAGTGAAGAGTAATTCGAAGAGTAACAAAGAGTCTCGATATTCGTAGTTCTCGTAGTGGGCTAACAAAACAAGACTATGAGATAATTCGTAGGACACTTTTTCGTACCCCCCCAAAAAAAAATACCGTAAACTTTTTAAAGTACTTTTCTATTTTGCCGGTGCTGGCGATAAAGTCGCCAAAAATGGTAGAACCAATACCAAACGGAATATCATCTCTGGTAACCTTTTACGCCTAAGTCGCAGCCATTCCTTATCAGATTGATTGCTTCTTCCACTACTTTCATACAATTACACAGAATTTTTACCAGATAGTTAAATTTTATGCCCTAAGGCCATTCACGGTAATTACGTCAATTAGGATGCAATCGCACTGCTCACCCGAAGGTGAAAATATAGAAAAGGCAAAGTCAAGGGTTAAATTCATCAAATCTAATAAGAATGGCCTAGCGAGGTAAAGTACTGTGGTTTTACATAATTTCTGAGTAAGCTATTCGTACGAATTGAAATGATTCTTGCATTTAAACTTGTATTCCGTATTAAGATTTAACTTGAAATGAATGTAGATAATTACTGAGAGAAGTAGATTTTTGTAGCACAGTTTATGCGAGATGAGATCTCTGGAAGTCACATGATATAAACCGGTAAATCAGGATGTTGTACCATGAAAGCATAGTGAATTCTTAAACTAATGTCTTTTCACAAAATTTTAAACGATATTAAAATGTTTATGCCTTCAAAATAAAAAATTCTTAGAACTAACATTTGTTAAATTTTTTTGATGTGTATACTGTGTGTTCTCGCCAATAAAGTCTGCTTGGCGAGATTTGAGCTGGCGAAACGGAAAAGTACCCTTTTTAATGATTGTTACGAATTAGTGTTTTTAATAGTAAAATACAATTAAATCCATTTGGCTTTTCGCACCAGAATCCGGAAAGGGCCATGGCAGTCAACGTACAACCAAATTATTACCATTATTCAGAATATTTCTCTCTTCAATTTTTTAAGTAGAGATTTAGTTTTTGATGTTGCTCACAGTAATATTTATAATAATCTTCTCAGATATTATTCTGCATTTTCTGGATTTAGCTCTGAACTGCTTTCAAAATTGGAAATTATTTTTGTAATATGGAATTTCTGTGTTTCACACTAAGTAGGAAAAAACTCACTTGATTATTAAATAAAACTGCAGGTATTAAAGTTGGCTACTAGATTCAGATATAATATATTCACTATGCTAACTAAGGATCCTCTGTCTCCCAAAATACCTTATGGACTCTATAATAAATGCATATTATTTACATTCATTTAAATTAATTTATTAACTTACAAAAATGTATTATGTTGCATTATCTATGCATTTAAATAAATGAAAAAAATAAAAGCATGTGAATTAACAACAGACTTAATTTCATTTAGCTTAAGAAGAACAAGTCATCTGAATAATTGTAATATCCAGAGTCTGAAATTGGAATTTTATTGGGTAAAAGTATAGTTTAGAGTACCCCTTGGCGGTATGTGGATACCGATTTTGTGCAATTCTTTGACTTGTTATTTTGGCTTGCGAAGCCCGAAGCCAAAATAACAAGACAAACAATTGCACAAAGTCAGTATCCATGTATACATCGACTTATTTTCACTTAAAAAAAAATCCCCGAATTGCACAAAAATGGCATTACGCACTCCTTTGACTTTGTCCATGTACACGTCGACCTATTTTCACTTTAAAAAAAATCCCCGAAATGCACAAAAATGGCATTGCGCACTCTTTTAACTTTATCCATGTACACGTCGACTATTTTCACTTTAAAAAAAATCCCAGAATTGCACAAACTTGCATTGTGCACTTTCTTTACTTTGTCCATGTACACATTGATATACAGTGAAACCTCGTTACAACAATATTTTAGGGACCATATAAATATATTGTTGTAGAGAGGCATATTGTTATATTGAGGGCCCACATATTTTGAGCATTTAATAAGAGTTTTTTTTTATTATTATTAGCTTAAGGTGCATAACATACTACTTTTAAGTCTATATTTAGAAGAAATTAATTTGTAAAATACTAATAATAGTGGTTTAAATACTAAATAAATAAATAAATAAGAATAATTCAGGAATAAGCACAGAAATATTCACATACCTGAAAACACTTTTTATTGAAAATAATCCAATATTTTTGTTTGTTTTATTGATTTTTTTAACTGTTAAGTTCACAATACTGTATGCATTGAGTCTAGTGCACGAAAATGTTCTTCATTTGTCGACGGAAGGCTTGAAAAAAATGTCCGTAGAGAATTCACAGATTGAAGAGCTTACAATAAGGACTGCGATAGACCTGTATTATCATCATCATCAATATCATCATCATATTCATCATTGTTTCCTATCTCATCAGTAATTTCAGAGAGAATATCTTCATCAGTAACTCCTGTGAAAACCATAAGATCATCATCTGCTGTTAAATAGTCTTCTATACTAATTCCAAACTTTTTACCTCTTGTTTCCTCAAGTTGGGATACGGATTTTTTGATGTGCTAAACACATTCTTGATCATCTGAGAGATCATTGTCTATGGAATTTTCATCATTATCAGATTTCTTATCTTCCATAACACAAAGACCGGCCTTCTTCCAGCAATTCCGAATGGTTTTTTCTGTTACTTCCCACCAACTTCCAGCAGTATTGTCACACGCTTCCTTGACATTTACAGCTTTGAAAGGGTCTTCTACTTTATTTTCAAAGTTTACAGTATGGAGTCCACCAACCGTTTTCTGTAATATTCTTTGAAGCACTTAATTATGCCCATATCAAGAGGCTGTAAAATTGAAGTGCAATTGGCAGGGAAAAAAGCAATTTCGATATTTTGTAGCTTTGGAAATGACGTGTGAGCACTTCAGTTATCTATCAACAAAACGATTTTTTTCTTTCTCTTCTTCATTTCATTGTCTAACTTCTGTAACCATTCGGAAAAAAAATTATACGTCATCCAAGCCTTCTTATGTGCTTTATACTCCACGGGAAGGCTTTTCACGTTCTTAAAGCACCTTGGATTTACCAATGACGGAGCACCTCAATGATTTACCAATGACGAGAGGTTGTATTCTATGCGTTCCTGTGCTATTTGTACACAGAAGAACAGTCAGTCTCTGCTTTGATTTCTTCCCTCCATAACACTTTTCACCCTTGAATGCCAATGTTCGATTGGGTAGGAGTTGGAAAAACAGCCCAGCTTCATCTGCATTATAAATGTCTTCTGGAGCATACTTTTCTAAGATTTCTTTCATCTTGTTTTGCCGCCATTCATTTGCGTCGTTTTTATCGGGGCGACTTTTTTCTCTCCGTGAACTTCTTGAAAAGTTATTCATGACGATCTCGAAAACGCATTAACCAACCATGCTAGCTTTGAAAGTTTCGTTCCCTAGCATTGCTGCAAATTTCCGTGCTTTTGCACTTATAAAGGTCCATTTATTGGGACATTTGTTGCTCGCATCTCTTGAAACCATTTTAAAACAGCAGCATCAATGTTTTCATTTGTCGCAACTTCAGTCGTTTTTCGCTCTGGGTTAATTTCATTTGAAGTAACAGCATCTTCGATTTGCTTTCTCTTCTTTAGGAACGTTGCATCTGTAGATTGCGATAATCCATGTTTCTTAGCCGCATCAATCTGGTTCATTCCCTCATCAATATCATTGATAACATTCAGTTTATCTCGAAAAGATAGTTGCTTTCGCCCTGCCATCTTAGGGCAGGGCGTGTCAGGCTTGTCAATATCGCGTGAAAGAAAGAAAAGTTTAAACCAAATGTTTCATGTAGAACTCAAAATCGTTAAAGACTATAAAACAACCTTTGAACTCACTTTTCAGTACGTCACTTAACAACACCCCGCCTCCATCTCCCCCTGTTCCTCTAACAAAGGGCACTTGTTCTGTGACAAGTGACCAGACAGGTCTAGATGTCCTTAAACCTTATCAGAATTCCCAAAGCTTACTGGGAAATGAGACTAGGCATACATTTACCTTCCACCCCCTCACCCACTTCAATTCCCAAAAGGGTGGTCTTCATCTGTTTGAAATCTGAACAATAGCTATTTATTCAGGGATAAGTTGAATATCCACAATGAGTCTTAATAGACGAAAAAAATAACAAAAAAAAAAAAAAAAAAAGCATTTGAAAATCAAAATATTATTATAAAGGGAGAAATAATACTGAAATTTAGATTGAAAAAATCGTTTTACAGAGGTTTATTGTTCTAGAGAATATAGCAATATTGAGGGGAGATTAACATTAGTTTATATGCAAAATCACAGAGACCACAAAATATTATTGTAGTAGAGGGAGTTATTATTGTATCGGGTATCGTTGTAGCGAGAGTTAACGGTATTTTCACTTAAAAAGTCAAAGGAGCACAAAATTCTACAATATAGGCAAACAAAAAATACATAATCTCAATAAAATACATTTTAAACCAAACAATAAAATAATATAAAAAAGAAAAAACATGTTATACATTTAAGCACTACCAAAAGCAAATATTCACTTACCATTATTTTCGAGTTCGCTTCGTACACCCAGAGCCACGTAAGAATCAAAATATCAATCATACTCAAATGACTTTTTTCAAACCAGGTACTCTTTCTGATTGGAACGCTTCGCATAGTGACCATCTGAACCTTTCTTCCTACAAACCCATTCAAATCCATCTAAATGGTTTTTACGTTTGACTAGACGCATATCCTTCCTAGAGAACAGGTCACTTATAATGGCTCCTAAGTAAACCTTCATTTACACGCCAGTCAATTAAAGCTCTTTTCCCCTTTCACTCCAAATCGTACAGAAACTTCAAATTAATCTTACTACATTTGGTCATTCTACTGTCTAAAGAATCAAACCAATACACACCACAAAAACGCTTACAAAACATCCCATGATTCAAAATTTCCCAGAATCATGCACCCGATTACGTCACAATAGGGTTTCCATAACATTCAACTACTCAGGCCACGATAAATGAAACAACAACTTGGCGATAAATAAAACAACAACTTCGCCATAATACAAGGGGTACCTTAAAGTCTACTCTACCCTTTTATTGTACTGTGGAGAAAAAAAAAAAAAAAAGAAACAGTATAAATTTGAATCTAGAAGTTATTAGATAATTTTATATGTTATTTATGTTTTTTAGTTTACACCTTTTATATAATCAATTTAATTCAGCAAATTAATACATATATATTTTTGTTTGATTTGATTGAATAAAGGATGAAATTAAGATTTGGAGAAGAAGTGCTGATTTTAACATTTTGTTGGAAACATATTTCCGGAAACCAAGAGATGCACTCAGGGTAAAATTTATATCTGAATATTTAAAATCTACATTATTTTGCAAATTTGTAATAATTTGGAAAAGATACTTAGTCGTATATTCCATTAAAAAATTAATCCTTAAGATGCTATAATGATGTGTTAATATTCAAGTTATAATAACAAATTATGTACAATAATATATAAAAATGAAAAGTTAAATTATGAGTTTTTACAATGGTACTTTTGTCAATGTCTAAACAAGTTTGTGATATTAGTTTTATGTTATTTATAGCTTATTAGAAAACTTATTGAAGGCATATATTAAAATGATTAAACATGAAACAATTTTAAGAGAGAAGTAATTTTTTACTTGTCTCGATATTCTATTTTTAAGAATTAAGACTTAAGTTTTACTAAAATTCTTTAGCATGACCATCTGTTATGAACTGTTTGTATGGCATTTTTTCTTCTGTATCTAACTAAAATCTGAGTAGATAAATTCAATGAGCCAAGGACTCACTATTCTAATTTAGATGCTGGATTTGTCTAGCACTTTGCTATGTTTTATGTATGTCTTTTTTTCTCTCTGCAAAGCTTGTCACTTATTTGTATTAACAGTAATAATTTGTAATAAGATATAAGGCTATTGAAACTTTTACTTATTATTTATTTATGTATTAGCATTTAATTTTAACACAATTAATGGTCTTATATTAAATTCCAGGATCTAGCTTATATTTATTCTCAAGTCTCCTGTCATGGATCTAAAGAGTATGATGTTACAAAGAATAAAAACTTGGAACTTTCTCCTGAAAGCATCTCATTGTTAAAAAAAGCAATTACACATGAGCCATTGATAACGTGTGTGCTTATTTGTGCAATATGTATCCCAGTGTATTATGAATCTGCATCTAGTTTTAACATTGTATTATGTAACATTATTCTCCAGTATGTCTTAAACTGCCTTAATTCATTGAAATCTGCTTTTAATAAGCATGATGATGTTCATCATGTGGAAGAATTATCATCAAAAGTATATTTATTACTCAGTGTTTTACCTGAATGTACATTAGAAAAAGTCATGAAGAAATCTATTGATGAAATTTTTTTACTTGCACATTACTTGTGCAAATCTGGAGCTCTAGAACATGAAAAAGTGTATAGATCTTTACTTGGTCGACCTTCACCTCACGGTCTACAGTACTACTGCAAACTTGAAGATGATATCGGATGTGATATTTCTAACATTAGAGAAAATATTTGCTTATGTTATATATCTGATGAAGGTAACTTTAGTCATCGACAGGCTTTACTGAGCAGTGTCAATTCATCATCACATTTTCTTCTAGATTTAATTGTAAGTTATGGTTTCTTTCTGAATTTATTTTAAATATTATACTTTACATGTTTAAATTAGTATAGGAAAATTGGTTAAATTGAAATGTGTTAAAATGTTAATAAATTATACATAAGTTCTGAAACACTAATTTAATATATTTTTAAGACTTTTTATTTGTCAGTTGTGAATATTACCAGATATTCTGTGTCAGACAAAGGCTTTAGAAATTTTGCAAGATCTTTGGGCTGTTTGAAGCCAAATGTGAACTCGTAGTTGATATCAAAAGTTTTTATTAAAAATACTCATTCTGCAAGGTGCATCCAGAAATAAGTTTTCCATATTGGCAACAGATGACAGGCCATGCATTACAAATGTGCATGCCTGAGAGTTTAAGGATGCGGCTGTTTTATATGCAAAATATCCATTTCAGAGTTACGTATAGAATCGCAGTTGTAGCAGCCTAAATATGTTGGTTTTTATTTTTTTCCTGTCAAGTGTGAATTTAAATCCATGGAAAATTTCGAATGGACACTGTTTGAAATTTGACATTAGTTGTGTCAAGTTGATGGGCTAGACATCATGAGCATGCAGATGGTGAGGCAGCTTTCCAAAGTTTGTCAAGATGTCCATGATGAGAAGCCCATTTGACGGTTGTTCATGATCAATGATGTTAGTCAATAGAGATCTTGGTGCTTCTTTTGGCCATTGATTTATGCATTTAAATTTTAATGAATTTTATTATTATAAATTTGAAGGTTTTATGAGATACAACAAAGTGTAAACAGTTTTTTCTCCCCTCTATGGAGGCCCCTCAGCCAACTTCAGTTTGGCCACTACTAAGAAGAGAAGTGGTGATTACTTTTTTATGGATGCACTTAATAGGTGGGCCACCTATGAAGGGGATGGACAGTTACAACTATGCCTTCTCCGGGATTCGAACCTGGGCCGATTGGTATCGCAGTTAGCTCCCTTAACCACTATACAATCTGGCCGGCCTAAGTAATATGTACTATTTAGTAGCTAATGTTATTTCTGTGTCAGTGAAACTTTCTTCACCCCAGATTTCAGACCATTTTAATCTTCTGTGGAGGAATACGATTATCAGTATTATTTAATTATATTTTCAGGAATATTGGTCTCTTTCATATGCATTGATGCAATAAAATTTATCATTAATATGATTAGACTGTTAAAGAAGTGGCAGTGACACAAATATATTTTTTTTCATTTTCTGACATTCAGACAGGTCTGTAATCAGTAGGTAAGGTCAAATTTATGTATATATCAGTGGGAATAAAACATTTACTAACTTTTATCAAAACTGATTTTTAAAAAAGTTATGTAATTAATTTTCATGCTTGTTTTATGTAATATAAATGTTCGATATTATTGTACTTTCAATGAATGCTGAGAAATAATGAATGTTGGAAATTACGGCTTGGGATTGGATGATGTTTGTTCTCTGTTGTTATTTGATTATGTAAATATTTGCATAGTTATCATGAATTTTTTGTCCTGTTATCAGTATTTATCTCCTCCTTTCAGCTTTTTATAAAAATGTTAATTTTTTTTATGCTTCATAGCATTAACCTTAGTTTTATTTCAGGATTATTGCATTCAAAATATTATAAGTGGTAATTATGAACTTGTATGGGATTCACTAAAAGATGATTTATTATCACGTTTAAAGCCTTTAATCTTGATTTTATCATGGGGAAGGAGCTGTGATGATGTTTCTGCAACAAATGTCATTCAGGTTATGAAATCGTGGAACGAAGTAAGATTTTTTTTTTTTTTTTAAACTCTGTACCAGAATTCATTTGCAAATAAGATTTTTTTGGTAAAATATACACAGTTATTTAAAATATTTATTTAATTCACTTTGTGCTTTCAGGTTATTGAAAATATTAATTTTAGATTTTTTTAGTGAAAATTAAGTACTTTTTCCCCAAGTGATATTTATGGATTAAATTAAATGTTATTTATAAGCAACATGATATAATAAAATCATCTATTGAAGAATCTGCTATTTGGTTTCTGTTTTATAGGTCCTGGGCACAAAAGTGAAATTAAAATATGTAATTACTGAGAAACATGATAGAGAAAACTATTTTACAAATACAAGTGTAATACGTAGTGTCAAATATGAATACCATTTTTATGACATTGGTTTTAATTTAACAACTTTTGTATATTCTACATAGTGGGCCATGAATTTTTTGTTGATTTGAATAGTCATATAACCTCTTTTTTAAGGTTGTAAAATTGTAAGCCTAAGAAGTTTGGATAATTAAAAAGCTCACTTTTAGGAAATTTAAAGGCAAATTTTTGGAGAATGGTGAATCATAATTGCATGTCTTATATTTTCTAGTGCAGTGTCCAGATTTAATAGCACTTAAATTCTTTTATGGGACTCTTAAAAAGGAAGGTGTACCAAATTAAATCTATAACTTTCCACCCACAAAACTTACTTTAGTAAATTGTCAGCGTTGTTCATGGAGAATGCCCTATATCAGAGAATTAAGCTGAAAATGGAAGACATTTACACAACATTATTGTTCTTACATGATGTCAAAAAAATCTTCATTCCATGAAAATAGCTAAAATTTTAAAAAGTTCTCGCCATATGAAATTTCAACTATTTCAGATCAAGAACTTTTAAGCCATTTTATATATTAACCCAGTTTATAATAATAATAATAATAATAATAATAAAGAGTCTCTAAATTGTGCAATTTAGCCCTATAATAAGACAGGCATCACATTACAGTATTCTCAAAAGATCTTTGGTTTGATTTCATGAATAATTTCTTGATAAGCTAGTTTTGTTTATTAAAAGAAGGTATAAGTAAACTGCTATTTCTCTGTTTTTCTGTTGCATTTTAAAAAAAGGTTGACATTTTCAATCTATCTTCTACAGAACGGCAAGCAGAGAAATATTTTTAAATTTATGAGTTCCTGGCATTAAAGGGCATGATGGGAGTCTTAATATGAAAACACATAAACAGTAGAGTTGCAATTGTGAAAGGCTAAGTGTTGATCAAAGTTTTACTAGAGAAACAAGGTACTAATATATTATCTTGTAGTATAAAAGCTGGCTTCTGCTGAACTATGAAAGTTGGCGAAGATCCTGCCGTGCCAGTTGTTCCACTGTAATTCTGAAGGAATTTGTGCCTCTAATAAATAATCTGTACTTGACCCACTACTTTATTTTTGCTCTTATTAAAAAGGTTTTCATTGATTTCTACTATTTTGTTAGGCTCTCTGGTTTTATTAGAAGCTTTGTTTAGAAAGATGTGAATACAGATTTTCTGAAGGTAATTGTTCCAGTCTATTATCATTTTATTAGCCATATTCAACTGACCATATCGTGTCCATTAACACGTTGAGTGCTGTTGGGGTCACCAGTGACTGGCATTCGACTTGGCTACAGTGCAGTGGGTTTCACCGGTGATGCGACCAATAGTAAAATACATAATTAGAGTAAAAATCAATACTGTTAAATTTTTAAATAGTACCATTGTTACTATAATGGTTTGAAGAATAATCATTCGTAAAAATTTAAATTATAAATCGCAATAATGATCTACAGTGCCTTGGGGGTCACCGGTAACCCCCACCGCAAAAATGCATTAAGCACGATTATATAACTGCACATTATCTTCTGTAGATAGTATTTCAACATAATATACATCGCATAATAAAAATTTAAAGTTAGCATCATGGGCAAAGCACATCAAATGCATGCGGCAGTCAACGTGTTGATACACATTGTTTTTAAGTGGTACAATCCGGTAAATTTGAAAATAATCCACTGCTTGTTATTCTGCAGGAGATAGGTTTCAAATTTTAGTAATTTTTTTGAAAATGCAAAAACCAATAATATATATAATAGCAATAACAGTTAATTTATATCCTTTTTCATAAAAATAAAATGTGGCTTATCAAGAATTAGTTGAGGTTACGTCATATGAAAGTGCATATGTAAATGTCATGTTTATTTAAAACTGGTACTGAATTGCGCTTCTTTGTAACAATTTTATGTTCAATGAAATAATACACAAGTCCCAAAAATACTGTGCATTCATGGGACATTGCTTAGATTTAAGTGTATTAATAGGCATTAAGTTCTCAAAGATGATGAATTTTATAAGTTTTAATGAAATTATTTATCAAATACTCTCAAAATATCTGATAATTTATTTAAGATTTTTGGTATTGAAATCTTCATGTTCACCATGAAATTTCGCAGACATCTCGCCCAAACTATGTCAGCATTTCTGGTTGCTGTTTGAAGCAATCAATTATTCTTTGTTTTATTAGATAACCAACATGTAGATTAACGTTAAGATAAGTAGATTAAAGTAACATGTAGATTAAGTTAAAGATATAACATATGAAAACTTAACTATAAGCTCAAGCTTTGAGATTATCTGACAAAGAAATTCATTAAAACTAGTGCCAGTTATTCTGGTGATCAAAACTCCCCAATGGAATATAAAATAACAACAAAACTCATCTTCTTAATGAACTATCTTTCATAAAGAAGTTCATAAAGAAGATACTTTCTTTATGAATTAGCTTTATTATTAATTATTTATTTAGAAATCAAACAACAAAAATCAACATTATATTTGCAAATTTTCACACGACTAGTTTCGATGGTTTTACCGAACCCTCATCCTGAGCTGCCAAAGTGCAAATGAAATAGGTAAGGTATAGTGATAAGATAAGAATGGCAGGAGTTAAGTTACTGGCACCATCTATTAATGAAACAAGAAAACTAAAACATAATTTTCTTAAAGGCTGAAGATAAAGGGGGATTGGAGTTAGGGTTGTTAACTAGAACAGAAAGATTTTTTTGAATGTGAAACACCTCTAGGAAATCTAATTCACCAATGAAAGATGGTTTTTGAATAATTTTGGCTGCAGAAAAATGGAAAGTGTGATTTTCGGACTAGCAATGCTGGGCAACAGAAGACTTATGTGTTTCCTTTTTCCCAACATATGTTCCTTAACGTGAAATTTTAAAGCTCTCTTAGTTTGGCCAATGTAAATTAAGCCACGCTGGCAAGGAATTCTGTAAATACCCCAGGAATTCATATCCGGAATGGGGTCCTTGAGTATGGAACTCGGAATTTCAGTGATAGAATAAATGACCTGAAAGTTAAATTTCTGTAAAATGCATGCAGTTTTATAACTAACTAGTGGAAAGAAAGAAATGACAACAGAATTCTTATAATCTAAAACAAGAGTGTGCCTTTTGGTGTGTTGAGGTGAGAATATTTTAACTGCTTGGTTAAAAAAATGTTGAGCGAAAAGCCCCTGCCTATAGCTACTGCTTTTAGATAATTTAGTTTTTGATTGAAAGCCAGTTTGGAGGCGCAAACTTGAAGTGCATGGAAAACAAAGGAATAAAATGAAGCTAACTTTTATCTAGTTGGATGACACGATTTGAAGTGTGGTGGAAGGGAAACCGATGAAGGTTTATGGTAAACCATAGTACTGCAGTTGGATGTGTTACGTGTGATCAAACGGAAGAGAATTACCTGTCTCAAGATCATAAGTGAACTGAATAGCAGGAACAATGGAATACATTATTGAAAGAACTTTATTTGAATCATCTTTATTACCGTCAAGTAGAGTAAAAGTATCGTCCACATAGCGGAACCATACTGGGAAGTTTAAAGTTTCAAATAATTTTGATTCGTAATAGTGCATGTAGATATAAGCCAGGATGGGACTAAGAGGCCTTCCCATGGGTAATCCCTCAGTTTGCTTATAATACTTATTTGGAAAACAAAATGCGCTTGTTTCAAACAGAGGTGAGTGAGGGAAATTAGCTCATCAATTTCGATGCAGAAGAAATGAAATTCACGAAGTCTGGTTTCTAGACATCGTAATGCACCCTCCAACTGCAACATTAGTGAATAATGATTGGTGAATGAATTAAATTTTCTAGAGACATTTCACATTCAAAAAAACTTTCTGTTCTAGTTAATGACCCTAATTCCAATCCATCTTTACCTTCAGCCTTTAAGGAAGTTATGTTTTAGTTTTCTTGTTTCGTGAAATGAATTCTGCTGTCCAACCATTCTTATCTTATCACTATATTTTATTTTGTTCATTTACACTTTGGCAGCTGAGGATGATGGTTTGGTAAAAACCATCGTAACTAGTCTTGTAAAAATTTGCAAATATAATGGTTATTTTTCTTGTTTGACTTCTAAATTAGTATTTGTTTGGTGTGTTAATTTACCTTAACCATATTAATTCATTGAAATATGAACCTAAGTGACGTGCACTATTTCACGAAGTTTTCGATGCAATAAAAATCATCAGAATAGCACAGTGCCACTTAGATTTGTATTTTAGTAAATTTATATGCCATTGAGTTCATAAAGAAAGTGTGTTTTCTTGTTATTTAAATATTATAAATATGTTAATGTTTTGAGTATAACCAGACCCCACTGCTTTCTTTCTGTAGAAAGCAGGCTCCAATTTTAATCTTTTTTACTTCTCTGTAAGAAGTAATGTGGTTCCCCAGTTACTACTTATATTTCGGAAATTTTTATACTTGTTATGAAGAAATAAAATTACAAGAAGTTTGACTCTTGTATGCCAAAAATTGCTCAGGGTATTTAATTAAAAAATTTGCGATTTTTAATGTCATTTTCAACTTGCCTTGAGTGATTGGATAATTAAGTTAGTAATTCAAGGAAATAAGTTTAATTGAAATACAGCAGAATGACTTAATGGCCCTATAAAGAAAGTCTGGTGTCTGCATTAGGTTTTTTAAAATGCAAGAGAAAAGCAGAGAAACAGCAATCAACTTCCGTTCAGAACCTAACCGAGCTTAATAAAGGTCAGAGTTACATAAAGCCAAAGTGAAACTTTAATGAGTATGTTGTGTCATCGTGCTTATCCATTATTGGTGAAATTCATAAGTATCTTTTTTTCCCTTTTTTTATATGCTGTATGTAATTTGTATTTCTTTATTATGGAACTAAATAAATAGTGAATTGTGATCACTTAACCAAAATAAAGAGCCATTTGTTCCTACAAATGGTACTTGCATATTACCAACTAGGTACCAATTAAGGTACCAACCAGTGGTGCCAACTAAGCAGCACGATTAGGCATTAGTTATGAATAAGCATGATGCTGAAGGGCATTTATAACTTCTCTGGTTTCATTTGATGTAACCCCGAATTAAATCTCAGTAATATAAAAAAAAATCACACTTTGACTGCATTCCAGTTCATTTGAAGCTGGTTGGGCAAATTGAGATTCTGCTGAATTAGAAAAAGAACAGCTGGATATGGCCAACAAAGCATTAATAGACCAGAATAATTACTTGTGAAGTTTATATTCATAACATTCTAAATAGACATACTAATGAAATCAAAAGGCCTAACAAAATAGTAGAAACTGAAGAAAGCCTTTTTATGAAGTACAAAAACAAAGTGGGTCAAATACGAGGGCTATCCAGAAAGTAGATTACGTTTTGGAATAAAAAAATAAACAAAGTATAGGAAACAAATTTTATTATATACAGATGAAAGCCACACTCAAATACTACTTTTCTACATAGTCACCATACAAATTAAGGCATTTATCGTAGCGATGTACGAGCTTGGAAATTCCTTCGTCGAAAAATTCGGCCGCCTGCGCCTTCAACCACTTCGTTACCTCTTCTTTGCAGCTGTGCGTCGTCATCAAAACGCTGCATAGCCAGCCACTTCTTCATTGCTGGGAATAGGTGGAAGTCGCTCGGTGCCAGGTCGGGACTGTACGGCGGATGAGGAAACAACTCCCACTTAAAAGATTCAAGAACTTTACGAGTGACATTTGCCGTGTGGGGCCGGGCGTTGTCGTGAATCAACAAGATCTTAGAGCTCAACATTCCTCTGCGCTTGTTTTGAATTGCTCTTCTGAGTTTTTGGAGAGTTTGGGCAATACCTTTGAGAGTTTATTGTAGTGCCTCTTTCCAGGAAGTCCACCAAAATTACACCTTTTCTGTCCCAAAAAACAGTCGCCATCATCTTCCTTGCCGACATTGTTTGCATGCATTTCTTGGGTTTTTGGGGAGAACTTGTGTGCCCCCACTGCATTGATTGCAATTTCGTTTCACAGTTCACATGTTTCACCCATGTTTCGTCACCAGTAACGATGCGATCGAGTAAAGAGTCACCATCCTTATGGTAAGCGTCCAAAAAGTTCAACGCTGCAGCCATTCGCTGATTTTTGTGGTCCTCTGTCGATTTTTGGAATCCATCTTGCACAAAACTTGTGGTAACCAAGCTTTTCGCTGATGATTTCGTGCAACAAACTTCGCGAAATTTGTGGAAAACTCAAAGAAAGTTCCGTTATTGTGAAATTTCGATTTTCCACGGACTTTAGCATCGACTTTTTTCGAGAAGTTCGGCGGTCACTATGCTGGGTCTCCCACTTCGATCTTCGTCGTGAACATTGGTTCGGCCATTTTGAAATCTTATGACCCACTGACGCACTCCACCTTCAGTGATAATGTTGTCCCCATACACTTCACGAAGCTGCCGATAGATTTCTATCGGTTTACAGTTTTTTGCAGTCAGAAACCTTATTACTGAGCGCACCTCACAGCTCGCGGGATTTTCAATTAACGCAGACATTTCAAACCGTCACAGTATCTGAACGGAGCACAGCACGAACCTCTCACTAGCACGGCTAGATGCAGACTGAGCTGCGCAACGCTCTGACCCCAAGATGGCCGCGCTAGCCCCGCCCGTAGCGGACACAGACGGAAACGTAATCTACTTCCTGGATGGCCTACGTACTTTTGCAGCAGTTGCTGTTTGGTAGATTGTGTGGAGAGACTGATGAATGATTTAATGTAAGAGTTGGCATGGTCTTTTTCGAGTTTCATGGTTGATTGAACAATATGTATTTATCATTCAAACTTCCAGCTAAATGAATGGTACAAACTTAGCAAAATAGGCTAACTTTCTTGGTCGATAAGAAAATATGTAAGTATCAGTTATTTTTTAGGAAATGAAATAACTGTAATTTTATCAGTTCCAGATAAATTTTCAAATGTTTGATAAAGTCATGAAAATGAGCTTTTGCTTCTTTGAAATTTTTAGAAATATAAATAATTCTTATTTTGATGTACCATAATTGGTTGCAGATAATGAAATTGCACTATCAGATCTGCTTTTACTGTTGGATCCTTGTTATTTTTAAATTCATTATTGTACCACAACCGCAGTTGTCATTTTTAGGGGCCATTAGAAGAAAAGGTGTTCAAAATTAAATTTTAACCTTTCACAATGTTTTTAACCTCTTAATACACTCAACTGAGTTAACTTGTGCGCACTAAACTAAATTAAATTTTTTCTGCACACATGAATAAACGTGTTTAAGAATGTTTTCCATGCATCAATACATTGGAATACATATAATTTGCCGCTACAGTTTTAACTTAAGTGAGTTCCTTAAAGTAAAGGAAGAAGTATAACACATATTCAAGATGTCTATTGTTTGAGTCCTGTCAAGGGCATTGCACATTTTTCATGTCTCCTGCTTCAAAATAACCTAATGACTATACAGAAGTTAAAAGAGATTCAGTTAAGATAAAGAATAAAAAGAATGGCATAAAAAAGACCACTTTCTGAATTCTTATTAGTGCATTAAGGTTTTAAATTAATATTTTTTTCATTTGAGTTCAGCTGTATTAGTCAACTTGTTTTTGAAATTCTAGCTGTAGATTTTTCAGTTTGTATCTGTTGAAAGCCAGTTGTTTCATCATTATGGATTTTTTACAGATTTTTCATTTAATAACTGTGAAAAATCCATATATCGTATCGCAGACTAAGATCTAATTTTATCTGTTTTTAAAACTGTTATTCACATTTGTTTCAGTAGTTATAGGTTAAATTGCATGTAATTGAAATGTCTGAATATGTTCAGACTTAAGTTTCTACTTGTTGAATACTAGCTTTTGCTTTCTGTTTAAAAAGCATATGGAAAATAAAATAAATTAATTTGATTAAAATAAATCTAATTAATTAATTAATTAATAAAATTAATTAATTTGAAAACCTGACAAGTTGGAAAATATTTACATTTGTTAAGAACCAAGAATAATCTGACATATGAACTTTAATTAAGATTAGTTAGACTTTGCTGCTGTTAAACCATTACCATAATGTTATCAAAAGGATTATCCTGCAGAAGAATGGGTCATTTTGATCAAAATAAACAATTATTCAATGTGATAATTTTGCTTACTTTCTGCATTAATATGTTATAAAATATATCAATGCAATAATATATATATATATATATATAGTTTTAAACTGAGGCATAAAGTATATTTTTGAAGTTATTTGGTTTTTTTAAGTACAGTATCTGTAAAAGTGAAATCTGCCATAGAACTTGTGGTCAGGAATGCCTGTTATCATGAACAAATCAGTTCACAAACAAATTATATGAACAAAAATTATCTCAGCTGAAGAACAGTCTCTCAAGTTATGAACAGTCATGTGAATGGCAATTTATTTTTGATGGTGTCTTCAATAAAGACCTGGCAGCAAGTGACTTATATGAATTTTACCTGGAAAAAATCGTGGTCAGATTATGTTGCACTCAGATAGATAAAAAAAAAACAGTTCCAAAAAGACAGTTATCTAATCTTTTATGGATAGGAATTTCTCAACTAAACTATAACATCTCTTCCTTTTCTCTCATAATTTTCAACTTTTGCCGTCCTCTCTTTTTTATATAGGAACAGTTTTACATTAACTATGCTTCTATTTTCTTTAATTTTGTGTTTCCTTTTATCGTCTTAGATTTCCATTAGTTTTGTATCATAAATCTGTGAACAGAGTACTGTTGAAAATTATAAATGAGCAGTCATCTGAAGTCCAGAAATGGATTAATCTAATTTGCATTAATTACCATGGAGAAAAATGTTCTGGTTTATAAAGGTTTCAGATGTCAAGTGTTCTTCAGAAAAGAATAAAATCCATCAACTGTAAGGTTTCCATTATAATATATTCCAATTTAAATATCCAAGCTAAAGACTATAAGAAGCAAAAATAAAATTTTAATGATATTATTTTGAATACTGTGTTTTAGTTGGTAGTAAATTCTATAATTGTTAAAAAAATTTACATTTATTCCAGGTTAATGAATCTCCTTTGAATGAAGTTTGCAAAGAATTCAAAAGAAATGCTTACTTGACAGATTTATTTATTGCTTATTATCAGTAAGCAGAAATTTTAATTTTCTACTTATGACATAGAATTATTTATTTTGCATTAAATGTTGTGTTACAAGCATATAATTCTTACATCGCATAAGATAGAAAATTACATTAACAACATCTAATTGTTTCACAAATTAGGGGGATGAACATTTACAAAAGGTTTATGCTATTGAAAAGTGAAATAACCTTTCTAAATTTGTAAAAGCATTTCAGCTATGAGAAACTATGAATATCCCATATTTTGATGTAACTTTGTATTCATATATGACCCATTTTAATGTCACATCAATTTTTCTATGTTCAGTCAAAATACATGCTGTAGCTTAGATACGTCTTATCAGTTTCCATTTTTATTTTGTCGTAAAACATGTTTATTGCTGCTATGAAACTTTGCTTAACAAACTTTTTTAACACATCAAAATTCTGCTTAACTGAAATAGTGATAAAAAATAATACTGAATCGGAAAGCTCCAAAACCAGTCCTTTCAGCCCATAATTTGGCCCACCAGCGGTGGAGTGGTAAAGTCGCTGAACACTGGTAGTTCAGTTCGAGGTTCGAATTCTGCGAACGGGCTGGCTGCATGGGTGTTTTTGTGGTTTTCCCCATGTGTAACGTGTATAAGAGCCAGTTTCCCTTAGAAAGTCCTCCACGAAGGCAACCCTTCCCTTAGGCAGATAGCCCTAGTGTGCTTTGCCATAATTAAATACACCACACCACAGCCCATAATTTGTAAAGTAAGTATCTGATAAGCTGCCTATTTACATGGAAAAATGATGGGCTATGAAATCTCAGGCCTGGAAATTAACTTTTAGTATCTACATTTATTGATGGATTAAATTAATTAATTCTGCTCTAAAAGATTTCTCTAAAATTGAATAAACTATAAAAAAAAATCAAAGATTCTAATAAATAAATTAAACCTTGTACTTTATCCTAAGTATATTTTTCCTATTTTGGAAGGACTAGTGATTTGCAAGATTTTGGTAAAAAAGTTGCCAAGTCTATGCAAGTCCTTCAATTAAAATTCAGACTTTAAAAATGTTTTGCAAATGCAAGTTGTTTTCATTATATGATTTAAACAAAGTTTTAAATGGAAATTTTGAAATTTATTTGATTCTAAATGTGTATATAAAAACATAATAGTTCTTCCAGGTAAAAATGAGTTGTTTCATTGTTTTTTAATGAAAAAAAGCTTAACTATATGTTATTTGAAATACTAAATGCCCCACCAAATGTTCTGCCCAAATTAGCTCACTGAATGGGAATTCAACCACAATTAAGATTTTGTACCTAAATTATAAGATTGGGAGTGAGTGAATTCTTAAATTTATAAAGCTTCATTGTAAATGAATAAATAAAAGATAACCTTCATTTATATGCCTCCTGGGGAGGGGGGAAGCTATTGAAAATATCTATATATTCAAAAGAGCTGTGAAATGAACAAAAACTTGTCTTAAAACTAAGAAAACTATAGAAATAGTGGATTAACATAAAATATATGGGTTTTAATTATAAATGAAGAGATTGAAAATAAGAATTATTAAAGAACATACTGGAAACTATCAGTATTATAGCTTTTTATGCATTAAATTATAATAAAGCTGCTGGTTATTAAAATAATTGCAATGTGAAGGACAAAAGATAATAAAACCATATTTACTTTATAAATACCTTATAATATTAAGTTATAAAATACCCAAGCAATCTGAATACATAAAGTGAGCAAAGATTGCTCGTGTATTACTGTATGTATTCGAAGCTGCAGTCCACATGCATCAACATGGATAATAATGATTGCTACTACATGGCTGGGCATGAATTATAACAGATTTTGGATTGCAACTTTGAATACTGCAGCTCATGAGGACTTCAGTTCTCTGCCAGAGTTCTTTATTGCAGCTGTTAGTGACTGTTATTGTGCCAGTTTCTGTGCTGCTACATACAGATATGTTCAAATAATGAAAGGCTTGGTAAATGTATTGGCTAAACAGAAGAGGGCTAAGCGGTTGGGTATGCCGTGTACTCTCGCATTGTTTTGTTTGAAGGTTTCTTCTTTGATGAGACAACTGTAGGCTGTAATTTGTCGGTGACATCATTTTGACTGTCAGAGTATGGATATTCATACTTAAGCATTAGGAGTTGAGATGTTGGACCAATATGATATTGTAAAATGTAAAATTTCATTAATTGGTCCCATGATGCTGCAGAAAAATTTGGAATTCATCTAGAAAGATCATGTTGTGCGATTTATGTATCCATGTGTTTTATTCAGCATGCCATTTTTGTTACAGATACCTTATTGTATGTTTAAAGTTAGGTAAAACAGTAGCCATTTTGCAAATATGCTGCAGAGAGCTGTTCGATCATACATGCAGAAACTTTTAACTGTTGCATGTATCTCATATAAGCAGTAAGAAGACATAACTAGAAGAATGAATAAGATACAATAACATGCCAAACAAATATTAATTTAGTCAAACAACAAAAATCAGCATCAAACAACAAAAATTTGAAAATATAACGCTGATTTTTGTTGTTTGACTTCTAAATTAACAGAAGAATGATCTCATATAAGAAGTAGGAAGACATAACTAGAAGAATGATCTCATATAAGAAGTAAGAAGACATAAGTAGAAGAATGATCTCGTATAAGACAACTAGTTTTCTATATTAACAAACATGATTTCTGCATGAAAAACTTGTTGCTTTCCTTTAGAGGCTATATCCAAGTTAAACTCACATATTATTATCGGTGGAGACTTTAATGCACAACACAGAAACTGGAACTGCAATAAATATAGCAAATATGGATACATAGTAAACAATTTTGCCCACAAGGCCAACCTAAAAATTGTAGCTCTGATGCACCCAACATGCTATAACCCTGATAATGCAAGCATCATTGACTTCTTCCTGTTAAAGAATATCAATGCTCCCACTAAAACTGAGAGCTTATGTACCGTCATCTGATCACAATCCTGTAATTATGAAAGTTAACATCAGTGGTTATAGCACACCACACAAAAGAGCCCTTGTTACTAACTGGGTAAATTATAACAAAGCTCTAAACAACACGCAGTACACTTTACCAACAGCACAGAGTGCAGATGAGTTAGACGCAGTAGTTGAAGATTTCACCAATACTCTCAAAATTTATTAAAAAATAATAGCAAAGAAGTCCCATTAGAACAGATAGCAAGAGACCCTGAAATCAGAAAATTAGTTAAAGAGAGAAACCAAGCAAGGAAAAGATGGCAGAGAAGTCACTGCCCATTGGATAAAAGAATTATGAATCACTTACACCAGAAAGTCAGGCAATACACTAACATTCATGCATAAAACGAGTGTTTTAGATATTTAGAAAGCCTTTCAAATGATGGTAATTTTATCTGGAAAGCAGTTTCCAAATATAAAAGATGTTACACTAATATTCCGCCCCTTAACGGCCCAAACAGGGTCGCATACACAGAAATTGAGAAAGCCGAGTCACTAGCTGATAACTATGCTAGTCAGTTTTGCATTAACAACATTTCAGACCCAGACATGGAATGCATGGTTAGTTACACGAACAATGTATATTTTTCACAGTCACACACGGACAACATTCGTCTAGCTAAGCCGTCTGAAGTAATTTGATGTACCGAGAAAATGAAAATCAGGAAAAGCCCTGGAATCGATGGAGTGAGCAACAAAATGATACATGAAATGGGTCACGTGATGTGATGCTCTTCAAATTTACTAGAATAATCAACCTGATCTGAACACTTGGTTACTTTCCAAAGAGCTGGAAAACTGCCATGGTAGTGCCAATTCAGAAGCCATCTAAACCAGCTAATTACCCAACCTCCTACAGACCTGTGAGTTTGCTATCCACATTAAGCAAAATAGCTGAAGCTGCCATCTATGACTGCATCGTGGAGCACATCAACATTAACAAGATCCTAATGCCGCAACAACATGGATTTGGAAAAAAAACATTCTACAGTGCACCAGCTGTACAGAGTGACAGAATTCATTGCTGAAGGTTTCAAAGAAAAAGAGAACACTGGAGCTCTTTTTCTTGATATATCGAAGGTATTCGACCGCATTTGGCTAGATGGTTTACATTACAAACTTATTTCCCTGGGTTTCCCAGGGTACATCATAAACATCACTAAATCTTATCTCTGTGAGAGGCACTTTGTTGTTCGCTATAAAAATACATATTCTACTCAGAGAAACATACTTGCAGGGGTCCCTCAGGGGTCTCTGACAAGTCCTATTTACTTTCTATTATATGCAAACGACATACCACATACCCCATACACTACTCTTGCCATGTATGCTGATGACACAGCGATCCTAGCAAAAAATGCATCCCTAAACCACGTAGTACAAGCATTACAAATACACACACTTGAAGCCTGGCTTAAAAATGGAAGATTCAAATAAATGTGGATAAGTCAGTTGCAGTATTATTCACAAGAAAAAGAAAGATCGATCACTTTATTAAAATGTACGATACAGTCATTCCGTGGGCTATGCAAGTAAAATACCTAGGCGTTACGTTGGATAGGAGCTTAACATGGAGGCCCCACACTACACAAGTAATTAATAAGTTCTGAACTGCTAAACAAAAACTTGCCCCTTTAATTTCTTGGAACTCGGTTTTATCTTTAGACAATAAATTGCTCCTTTACAAAGCAATGTTGCGTTCCATTATAACAGATGCCTGTCCTGTTTGGGGCTTTGTCAGTACAGTACATATGAAAAAATTGCAAGTATTACAGAATGTTACTCTTAGGCAGATAACCAAGAGTCACTGGTTTATTAGAAATACAGACATTCACAATGAACTTAAAGTTCTAGAAATTAAAAAATCCATGGCCAAAATTACCAGAAAATTCTTTAAGAACATCCACAAGGATGAAAGGCATTCCTTTACTTAGCTATGATTACAATAAAATCAATAACGCCAGAAGGCCAGGAGCACTTTTGAGGGCATTAAACTGATGTTTTTGTAGAATTTTACTTAAATTTTTACCTTATGTAACATACTCAGGAAATTTAGTTTCATAATATGCCTTACATCTTTCTTTTTTAACTGTTCTTGCTTATTATTGATTATGTAGTAAATTTAATGCTTAGGGAAAAAAATTGTAATTCCTAGCAGTAGAGATTCATGAGACATAGTAAACACCTCCTCCTTTTCAGCTCGACTAACTCTCTAAAAGTATGGCTCTGAACCCCGCCCCCCTCTTATGCTTGCCAATAGCGTTTTGTTTGCACCTCACTTTCTCTTCCCCACTTAGCACTCCGACCACGTGAATTCGGCTCAGTTAGACGGAGGACACTGAAGGCAGAGCTTCGTGCTCCAGACAGCAAAGAAGTAACTGACTCTTCACCAACAAAAGTGAATTTTTCCACAGCATCCACTTGCAGCTATCATCTAACTGTTTCACGCATCAGCTATGATTATTCCAATGCCAAAATTGCTCTATTTTCAAATAATTCTGAGATAAATTGCTCATCTAATTTCTACAGCTCATTGCTATAATTGCTTCAAGATTTACATGCCAATATTGCTATCTACAACATTAAATAGGTATTTTTAGGACTGTTTTACTAAATTTTTAGGACTCTCATGATATGCTATGCAAAATTAAAGATATGCACACCATCTTACGTTGCTAAACACAGAATAGGAATGTGTTCCAGGAACTTGACTGCGTGACTTCGTCACTTAAGATAAACGTTTGTTGCTTTCCTTTCTCTTTAACACTGTTTCTAGATAGTGCTGCTGATGCTTGTGATGTGCACATGCACTGCATTGTTCATTATTTTTGCATTGCTCATCATTTATTTTGTTTGTGCTTTAATGTGTAATACAAACTTCAGGTCTGTTAGATTCTTCCTTCATGGTGTTCAAATTTTACAATCAGCAGATTTTTGTTTAAACTTCAATGATTGGGGGGGGGGAACAACTCGTATATATATATTTTTTAAATCTATTTATTTATTTTTTATTTATAGGGAATTGCATCCTTCAAGTAGCAGCAGCAAAATTCAAAACAAAGCTCGAAATGTTTTCATGCAGCTCCAAACTCAATCCATCTTAAGTATTCTTCATACTGAGTTTGGCTTGAAAAATATTTCATTTGAAAAAATATTAGAATTCTTGAATCCTGAACAAGGTACCTGCATTTTGAATTTATATCTGTAATAGTTGTAATTGTGATAAAAGCTATAGTAATAGTTATAATTGTGCCTAAACTGTATAATTTAAATTAATCCATTAATGCTTGTTAAAATGTTCCACAGTAATAATATTTTTAAAGTTGAAGATAATAAAAAATTTAATAATTCTTGCTTTTTTTGACACATTTATGAAAATAGTTTAGTAAATGCATGACCAATACACATTAATATGTATTTTTAGTAGCACAAATTGTAAAATCATCTTGAGTCCCACTAGGAATGAGCAGAAAGGGGTTCAAAAATCGTAAAGCTTTTTAATTTCAAAGTACAGTCAAAAGTCGTTAATCCAGACTCATCGGGACTTCTGCGATTCCGGATTATCGATTTTTCCGGATTATAGATCATCAGTTTAAATCTCGTAAGATGGCATGCAGAAATTCTAAAGGGTATCTAAAAATATGAAACCTTAATTTATGAAATAAAGAACACATTATGATCTAAAGGGTATCAAAATTTACAAAAAAAAAAAAAAAAAAAAAAAAAAAAAAAAAAAAAGCTTAATATTTATTTGTTTACTTTATTAAACATTTCTTTCAATGTAAGTTGTTTAAGTTGCTTCGTTTTATGTGATAATACTTTCTCTTTAATTCTATAAACAGACATAATTTCTTGTTCAGTTATAAAGTTTCGCTGTTCAAGTCCCGTAATTGCTGTGCCGAGAATACCGACTAACTTGTCAATCGAAATTTTTTCGTTTTCTCTAACCTCTCTGTCACCTTCTTCATGTCTTTATCCATTTTTTGCAGCAATTCCACTTTTTGTTTGATGGACATCGAAACATACTTTCGTTTTGTAGACCCTTTGGGAGCTCCAGCATCGGAAATTCTATTTGACATAATCAAAAGTTCAAGTTTACTTTTATAAGATTGCTCTTACAGTCTGCAAAAAATAATAAGCTGGATCCAATTCAAAGATTAAGGAAAAACGCAATCATCAACATTAACTGAAATAGGTAATTAGATAATTTTAGCTTATACCATCCGTTATACATAAAACGCGCACGCGAAAACGTATTCTGCGCTTGCGCGCACACATATACGCAGTCGTAAAGGTCTTACGCGCACGCGTAAATGCCTATGCGCATGTGTCAACACGCTGCATGCGCAGAAAGTTTTTAGCTTTGAGGTCCGGATTATGGGTGTCCGAATTAACGACTTTTGACTGTACTGTATATTTTTTAATAGAAGCCTATCCATGTATAAGTCAAGAATGTATTTTTAATCAAAAATTTGCGCAAAATTCAAAACCTGTATGTATCCTGAAATGGGGCGGGGGGATTTCCTATAACTTTCAAATATGGACATTAGGGCAAAAATGTTGCTTTGCATTTAAATCGGGTAAAATATTTTCCAATCAAAGTTCTGCAAGTTGAACGCCAGATGCCAATGATGACAGTTTTAAGTCTGGTATCTGAAGCTAGCTCAATATTTTTAGACTTTTATATGATCTATGGTATCTGTACTACTCTTATATTTTGTGCCATTTTATTTTGTCTGAAAGTTGAGTAAGAGAAAAATACTAATATAATAAATTTCAAACAATTGGTAATTGTGTCTGGTAATTTAATAAATTGGTAATTTATGTATACTGAAAGTAATGGAGAAGTCTGAACCAGAAATAAATAGGGAGGGAAGGGGAAAGGTAGCATAATATAAAATCATGAATAAGAAATTATTTGAAATAAAGGTAAAGCTATGTAAACAAACTTGATTGTGAAAAAAAAAATAATAATGAAAATTAATTAGTAAAGTTGCAGTCTCTGGGATTGTAGTATAATTAATAATGTACCAATCAGTAGCTTAATCTCTCAGAATGCATGAAATTTATGGCATTTGATGTAGGTAATATTTCAATAATTTAATTTTCTTACATATAGAGATGTAAATCTGATTCCAAAATGTTAAATTTGAGATCAGTCATCACTGCCATCACTGAAAGGCACATTCACTTCTGGCTGTGGATTCTGAGGGCTCACCCTATTAAATCTCTGAATAATTTTGCCTATTTTTAAATTTCTCTTTAAAATTTTTCTTGCAGTATTTGTTTGCTATCATTGTTATGACAACATATAGCTTATAAGCAATGTTATCACCAGTTATAGCCAAGTAATCAAACTCTCAATAAATCATGTTTTGAAGATTACGAGATAATAGTCTCTTAGCTCTTTAGATAATAGTTCTGCTCAGACTTGCATTTAAGTCCTACTCCCAACACCCTTTGCTTTTTGCAATATTTGCCAGCTCCCAAAGCACTCAGAATGTCTGATTCTGCTTATTGCTATTAAGGCAGTTTCTGCTGGTCTTATTTCTGCCATATCTTTGCATGCTTAATTTCAGGGGATTGTTCTGTTTGATCTGTAATTAAGCTAGCTCATTTGGAGTATGCTCATTGGTGACCTTGTGTTTGTCTTGCTTTTGGAAGTTGTGACTTAAACATGGAGAACAATATTTTAATAATTTATCTGTATTATTTGTTAATTAAAAAACATTTTATTGTGTTTTACTATTCTTTTTAGCATATATTTCTGCTTTGAAGCATATCATATAATATACTTAAAGAGGATTTTCCTCTGGGAGATAATGTTGTGCCCGTATGCTTTTGGTTAAACATATAATGTGTATTTTATAAGTTTCTTGTGTTTCTGAACTGTGTATAGTTTTATAACCATAATAAATGGATACGTTTCTTGTGTTTTTGAACTATATGAAGTTTTATGACCGTAATAAATGAATTTCTGTGAATTTTAAATGTAATGTATTTTAACCCTTTGCGGCACAGTGTGTCCGGTCTGGACACACCTAAAAATTTCCTTCTGTATGCAAAGAAAAATTGAATGAAAAAGGATTTATAGGTTACTATAGGTTACTCTGAACCTTATTATTTATTTATAGTAGATGGCAGCTCAACACAAACCAGTCCATATATTTTAGCCATGTTTAGTTTTTAAGACCCTCATTTTTCAAAGAAATCTTCCAGATTTTTTTAGGGTATAAAAGGAATTGTTTGGAAAGAAATTTCTATGCTATTTTTTTTTTTTGGCTGTATGCTAATCTCTTTATTCTATATTAGTTTTAAATTTTTACCTTGAAATCTTGCCTAAAATCAAACGGCGAACCCTAGGTGTGCCCAGACTGGGCTCATCGACCATCTAGGATAACCGAGAGTCTGTATTCTTTGTTTCTCTGCATCTTATCGGTCAGTTCATTGACAACAATGCTTGCTTCAGCACTCTTTTTGAAGCTCTATTCAATCAGTGTGCCCAAGGGCACACCCACAGAATTAAAACGAAAGTGCTATCTCCACAAAATTTTACTTGTGTACTCCTCTAGGCCTAATTAGATTACCCTTTTTTTTTTTTTTTTTAAATCAAAATTCCGGTAGCGGGCTGGAAAGGGTTAATGTAGCTAAAATGATGTATACTGAAATGAAAAATTTTGTGATTTAAGTTTTTTGCTTTTTATTCAGATAGTTGTTTTAAAAATATCAAGATACTGAAATAATGGAATTATTTATTAAAATTGTAAAAGATGGGGTGAAAGTTATAGTTTACAATTAAAACATGTCTAAAATCTTTAATATGTGTCAAAAATAATTCATATTATATCATATCTATGTTTGAATTACAGAGTGATCAATCTCAATTTTGATGGACTTTATCTTTTACATATTATTTACGGTTCCTTTCGTTTGTATAAGATGTATTTGTATTTGTATAATGTATAGACATTCAGCTGCGTTTGATAAGGGGTTCTTTAGAACATTTGACTGAATGAGTTTTTACATCATGGATCCAAAATTTTCACAATAAACATTTAATCATATTCAAGAATTCAGTTAATCGAGGACTGTATTATTCATCTGTCTCTCAGAAAATTTTTTAATTTTCATTTGAAGAAGAAATTACTGCCACTTTTTGTATATAATTTATGCAATTAAAGGATGCATTTATTTTGCATGTATTGAAGTTTTGCTTTAATTTTTTTAAAGAAAATATCTTATTTTTTTTTTTTTAGGAAATTCATCTGTTTGCAATGAATCTGTCTCATCACATCTTACTGATAGAGCTATTTACTCAGGATATTTAATTATGATTTGGATAATGGAAGCTGTACTTTTATGTTGTGAATATAAAAGTGTAATTGTTACTAAAAAACTTGTTATTTCTGATGTTTTATATAAATCCTGTGACTCTTTTAATGCATCTGAAAATCAAACAGTTTTTCTGTGCAACTGTGATTCTGTAGCTGAATGTATAAATAATCATGGAGCTCAATATGCCTATTCTAGATTTATTGTTGAACGTCTTGAAAAAGCAAAAAATGAAGTTAAGAAACTTTTTCCTATTGCTTTCAGGGTAGAAGTTCTGGAGAATATATTTTCTATGCTTTTTTTAATGTCACATAACTTAGTTGATGCACTGGAACAGTGTTCAGATTCAGATCAAGGTTGTGAAGGTGAAAATTTTGTTCTTCCTGGTAGTGGTACAGAACCCTTTCTTGTGATGAAACAGTCAACAGAAACAGAGAAAAAATATTCAGACAAATTTACAGTGCATTCTGTAAAAGATCCTATCACATCAAGAGCAAGAAGGGATACACTTGAAAACTACTCAGGTCATAGTTCCAAGAGCACTGAAAGTAATAGTTCTAATGGACTTCAGTCTTGCACATTTCTTTGCAACGAACTCATAACACGTGATCTTCTGTTCTTATTGAAGGATTCTGTCATAGAAGCCAAAGCAGAAGTGTATAAAGCTATTAGCAATTCTGATATTAATGTAAAAGGCAAGGTGAGTTGTTAAGTATCAGTATGTTTTCAAAATAATGTGTTGTTAAATGCAAAATAATGTATTTTCTCTTTATTAACTTTCATAAGTTTCATTAAATTTTCTGAATGCTTTAAAACTTGTTTTGTTATATCTGGTTTTATAAAAATGTTAAACTTTATGCATATTTTATTTTTGCAAAAAACTGGTTTAAGAATTTGTAATATTTTTTAATGGCTGGTCAATTCTCTGATTTCTGTATTCTTTTTCAATTACTTACCTGAAATGTAATTATTATTATTATTTTTTTATCCTCTGTTATAAAAAAGAAAAGTTTAGGTGTTTATTTCTTTGGTAATTTTGAAATAGTACAAATTAAATGAGAATTGTGTAAAGATATAAAGATTTTGGTATGATTTGATTGAAAATGAATGATTATTTTACTTTTGCCACAGTTGTTAACATTTCAAAAACTGTGAATTTTTAGTGAATGCATATAGCATAATTACAAGGTGAAACCAGAAGATTTGAACTCGAACCATTCTGTATTGAATTTGGCCATGACCATACTTTAAGCTCGCTTAAGTGCAGAATCGCCCACTTATTTGTTTGGTGCTTTTTACAAGAGTAAGAAGAATTGGATTTTTGTCAATTTTTCTTTGACTTTTTAAGTAAAAATAGGTCAATGTGTACATGAATAAAGGGAGTGCACAAGGCCATTTTTGTGCAATTCTGGGATTTTTTTTAAGTGAAAATAGGTCGATGTGTACATGGATACTGAGTATGTGCAATTCTTAAAAACACGCCAAGCAGTGGGTGATTCTACACTTTTCCCCTGTCAGCCTTCGAGTAGTTGTAAGTGGGTTAACATTTTTCCATCTGATTTAAACAATAGGTGAAGCCCTAAGACATATTTGTTTTTGAAGTGAGATGTCACTCACAATGATTTCCTTTTATTAGAGTAGCAGCAGGAAAGGGAGTAAGAATCAGATTCCGAGGAACTTCAGTTAACATAGCAATTGGGCTGTTTAACTTTCTAATTTGATTCAGCTTATTACTATGCTATCATTATTATTTGCTATTGTTATTGCAACTATCTTTTCAAAATTAAAGTTTGAGTTTTCACTAATGTTGAAAAGAGTTTTTAATTGTAGAGCTGCAGTGAGATCTGCAAAGCAAAAATGAATTTGTATGTTGAGCAAACAAAAAGTGTACTTGCTGGTGGGGGAAGAGATATCTGTTTCAAAATGATGTGAGGAGTATGACATTGAAAAATCAATAATATATGACATAAAAAAAAGAACTTTTTGTGGACTCATCTATCATCCCATTCTCAGTCAATAACAGGAAAATCATTCATTGTGCAATGTGATGACTAAATAGGTGAGACAGCAGTGTCGTGAGGGCTGTACGCTTGTGACTCAAGCTAAAATATTTCTTGGAAAAAAAAAAAAAAAAAAGGTTATTGGTTACCAGTGGTTTCAATACTGGTAGTCATCAATGAGCTTCAGGTTGCTGGTGAATGGAAATCAACCAGTGGTCTCCTTTTTAATTTGGCTGTTTTCCCTTTTTATCTGACAATAGTGACATGCTTATGAGAAATCTAATCTACATCATTTCAAAATTAATCTGAGTCATGTGATTCCTATATAATGCTCATGATTCATACTTACCTAATGCAAAACATCTCTTATATTTTCAAACCAAAACCTTAATTTTTCAATAGAATTAAAATGAAACTTTAATTTCACTAACATCAGTAATACAATTTATAAAATAAACAATGGAACGAAGGCTATATTTTTGCACTGTCGGAAGAGAAATACTCTTATTCAGTTATTAAAAAAAGATGTAAAAAACATGGTTTAAGTATTTCTACTATAAAATGAGTGACATAATTAATATGAAAAGAAAGAAACATCAAAGTTTACATCTGACTGGGAAAAGGGCAAAAAATGCATACCTAACAAAAGTACGTATAGCTCTTATTAAATCTAAAGTTGCATCTCATGCTTTAAAGAAAAATCCAGCTATTGCAAAATCTGTAAATATCTCTATAGGAACTGTGAACAAAATTATAAAATCTGATTCAAAGCTAATCAAAACAAAAACAAAAAAAAACATGATGTTAATCTCCTAACGCCAAAATATGTTTCTCGGCATGAGACTGTGTGCAGGTTACTGTATGATAATTATTTGGTAGGTGAAAAAAGTGAAGTTCCATTGGGATAAGGCTCCAAGCCATACCTCTATATCTACTACTATATTTTTTGAAAAAATGAGAAATGAAACGAGAATTGAAGCTATTCCCTTTAAATGCATCCCACCCAAGTCCCCTGATGTGTCTTCTATGGATTACTGTGAATTCGGACTTATAAAAGAAGCTCTTTATAAGCTGCATCCCAAAGCATTGGATGGACTCTGGAAGATTGTGAAGGAGAAGTGGAATAAAATCAACTTTGATGTTTTAAGAAAATGATTTTTATCTTGGAAATCAAGATGTACTTAATGATAGTTTAACAAAAGAGCTATCAGATTTACTATACTAGAAAATAAAATTGTAAGGTTTTTATATATAAATCTTTGCAAAATCGTTACAAAAATGTGCGAACACCCTCTGTATATAAGGACATTTATGCTTATTGAGGCTGTTGGTTGCTGATAACCAGTAGTTTGACAGTCACTATCTAGTGACCCAAAGTTTGACCAGCATCCGATGGAACACTATTCTGGGATGGTGCAATAAATTTATAACTTTTAAAATTGAAAAGAAAATTAAGCATACTAGTGCATAACAAAGCTTTTGGTCATCAACTATCTTCAGACTGATAGTTTACTGCAGATCAACTCTTTAATCATTTGTGTGGAGCATGGAGAAAAAGGTAAAATATTAGATATAATTATATGAAAATTTTTATTATCTTAGTAACTTAAATATGAATGATTTTAAGAGTTTGTAGAAACATTCATTTGGAGATATTGATGATGTTCATTATACTCAATTTTCATTTTTGTGTAAGTTATCTGTAATTTTATCAAATGGAATTATGATATAGGAAATATAGACAGCATAAAAAATTTAGTTCATTACATAGCAGGGTTTGTTATGATAGAGTTTGATTGTAGGTACATGTATTAAAATCTAACTTGGTAAGGGATTAGAAATATTGTTATAGTAGTATTATCTTACTGAAATGAGTTACTATGGAATTGTTGGTTTTTAATTTCAATAAATTAAAAATGTGGATTTGAATCTGATTAACTGAAATATATTTCTTCTTTTGACTTTTCATAATGATATTTTACATTTGGCCTCCAGAAAGGCTGTACTGTTTGAAACATATTACTTGTGGTTGCCGAAACATTACTGCATATAACATAAAAAGAGTTAAGTCATAAATCATGTGACAATGAAAATATGTTGCAGCTGTTATTTCAGGTGATTCTCCCTTCTAAAAAATATGTTGTTTGTCGAATCAGCTTTGTAGAAGCAGATTAATTCTTGCAAATACTAACTACTGTTTATGAATTCGTGGAATATATGACTACTACTGAAATGATGTCTGCCATTAAGAAAGATTAAAATTGAGAATATGTATTGTTTTGAGAACACGTATTTTATTAACAGAAACTTTTTAAATTAAAAAGTGAACTTTATATGTTACACATTATTTTTTCAAAAACATTTTGTGTGATTTTCTTTTAAAATGTGTGAGAAAGCTAATTTGATCAGTAAATAATTTTACATGTTGCTAGTTCAATATCAAGCATTCTATAATAATATAAGTTATAAACTTGATCTTTGTCTCTTTTTTTTTTCTTTTCAGATTGTTACTGAAAGTGGCCAGGCAATGACACAAGTGAAGGATGCAACAGCAACGAAGTTATCAATATGTACCGATGATTTGCATCAGCGCACATCACAGCTTTTACAATATATCAGTGAAGCCATATGGCGTTATGAAATAGTGAAATCTGATATTTTCCAAGAGCCATTTAGTTTTTCTACATTACAGAAGAAGACACCTTATCTCTTTCAATCCCAACAAAGTGTTTCCTCCTCAGGTTTGTTTCATTTTAAACCTGCATTCTGATATTTGATATATAAATTGTATTTATTGCTCATAATTAAACTCTTTTGCTGTTTGAAAAATTTCAATTTATATCTGTAATCTTTTATTTTACAAAATATAACATTTTAATAAGTTGTACAATAAGTTTTTTTAGAATTGTCTCATCACAAGTACCATATTAACTTAAAAGATAACACTCCCTTGAATATAAGTGCCTTCTTATTTTAGGAAATAAAATGTAGAAATGTAGGAAATACATGGAAGAATTTTGCATACGAGTTAAGAAGTTTTTTAATGATTGGATAAATGAAGTAGATACTTTTGAGAAGTTGAGTGACCGTATCATAACGGATCATATAAAACATAAAATGTCTCAAGAAGTAAAACGCAATTTTATTGAAGTTAGTCTAAGTTAGTTGATTTAGTTGAAAAACTAGATGATTATGGTACTTTGAAGTCAACTTTCAAGAGCAAATAACCAAGTAATGAAGGACCTTATGATGAAAAAAACTTCTTTAAAGCTGATCCCGTTTCTACAATCAACAAAAAGAAAATTGTTGAATTACACATAGGGAAATAAGTTAACCAAAATGTTTCAATTGTAAAAATTTTGTACACATTTCAATGGACTGTCTGCTGTTAAAACATTTGTAGCATGCCAAAAATGTAGTAAAACAATAAAGCTAAAAATTGTGCTACTAAAGCTGAAAGTAATCATTCAAATGATGAGAATTATACTGTTAAATAAGTTGGCAAAAATTCAGAAGAGAGGACTTCATATTTGAAGAAAGCGAAGCTCAATAATTCTGATGAAGTACAGGCTTTGGGAGTTCCTGTTGTCTCTTGAGGGTTTCAGTTGCTCTGAAATTTAAACTGAAACCAGAACATGCTGTCAGTGAATTATACGGTTTTGCAAACCAAACGGTTCTGTTGTTGATTTTCCCATCTTGGTGTGTTATACTTTATTGATTATAAATTTTGCTTCTTTGAGGTTCTACATAATATCATTTTTTTCAATTGTAAGGATTTTTTTGCTGCATATACTGAAATTGCATTGCAAATAGACGGAATTATTTTTGTTTTTTGTAGTTTTCTCTTTAAACATGTTGAGGACTTTTATGATTCACCAAAGAAGCAATTTTTATACCTTGGCAGTTCTGAAATGCAGAATTCAAGTTTAGGTGTAGTGCTGGCAAAGCTTTCAGACTGGTATTCTATGGTAGAGCTAAGAAACTGGTAAAAACAAGCTGCATTATTCTTTCTAAAATAAAAAGGTAATTTAATTAATCATTATGGCATTAAATTTTCCACTAAAGTGGAGACTGTTAAAAGAGAGAGAGAAAGAGTGAGGAAATAGATATTTTTGAGACCATTGTAAAACATTTCATAGGCATTTCTTTTATTTTTTTCATGTATTATTTCAGTATGGGTGATAGCAGAAATAAACTTAAAATCTAAAGATAAAACATTTAAATTCTTCATCAGCATTACTTTAAAAATATCATTAGCTGAAATTTGATTATTAAACGTCTGAATGTATTTTTAATGCAGTGGTGGTCTTGTAGTCGCCATCTCAGTAGAGAATTAGTATTTTTTGAGAACATTTATAAATATTAGTATTGAATATTAGCTCTTTAATCTCCACAGGAGGATCCTGGAATCACAGGTTACTATGTTAGAAAGTGTTTAATTGTTCTTATTTTTAAGTGATCTTAAACTGATGATAAAGCATGGAAATGTTGACCTTGTCAGATATGCTAAACTGGAAAAGCTGAAAATCCTCAGTATGCAAAATTTATAGTTAAGAGGAGTGCTTGCCAAAATATGCATATCAGTAACCAAATAAATTGGTGTAATTATTTTTTTTTTAATTTCAGATTTCTGGAACTTTTATATGAAATTGGTCATATTATCAATAATTAAATAAATTTTCTTCCCTCTCTACCTTTACAGATGGAACTGACAAAGAAAACAAAAAGCGCCGAAAGAAAAAGAAGAAGCATAAGCATAATTTCTCTAGTCACAAAAAAGATTCTTTTGCTGAATCAAGCATCATCCAGTGCATGCTGTCATCTCCTGAAGCTCTTTTACGATATTCCTTGTGGAACAAAAATTTGGTTCAAGCAGGGCAAGTCATCAAAGTAAACCTTACAAATAAATTTTCATATATTAAATTTTATTTTATTTAGTCCACTCTTTGTTTCGCTGCTTCTTTATTATTGTTATTATTTGAAATTTTTATTTAAATATTTCTGTATGGTTTATTGTAAAAGTAATCTGTAATCTTATTTGCATCTCAAAATTCTTGTGTATTTTATCTTCAGAAATAATGATTTACCTTCTAATTTAAATATATAGTAATAAATTGCATAATTCAGCTTCAATCAGCCCCTTAGGAGCTCACTTTTGTGAGTACGGGTGGGGCAATCCCGAGGTACTCTAGCCCTTTAGAGGTTCATGATCCTAGAGCCGCAGTGATCTATCTTCTTTTCCGTCTCCTCTCCTCTGAGCTGAAACTTTTTCTCCTCTTTTGAGGTTGGGCCTTGTCACAAAAAACTGGAACAGCTCTTGTCTCTTGTTTTCGAGTGCCGAGAAAACTGCCCATGTGTTTGCCGTGTGTGGAGACGTGTCATTGGAAAGGAGGGTCCTGGTAGTTGAGGGACGTTGTACTGTCCCCGACACACTGCTTTGGCCTCTGCTTCAGCTAAATGGGAGGCACCTAAGTCGTCCTCACAGGTGTTAATCGACTGGTCACTAGTCCTTAGTCAGTGGCTTGGGAATAAGCTCTCTCCTGCTTTCGGGAAAGCCAACTGTGGGACTTCAGTTTGCATATAGCTCTGGCTAGCCCTGACACAGGAATCTGTGTTCCCTTGTTGGACTCCGTGTTGGACGAGGCCAACAGACCAGAATCTTTTCTTTCTTCAATATGGCCAACTCTCACATTTGTCTAATTAAAGACTTCAAAGCCAGTCAAGTCACTCAAAGCGCTAGTTCTGAAAAATCTACTGTTAAAAAAGTATGCAGATAATGCTAATGCAAATAATCTTAATAATAGTCCCCATTTACTTGTTATCTCTAGTCCTTGTGGCAAAAGATGTCTCTTTTTGTGATAAATAAATACATTCATTCTTGTATTGGTGAACCCAGAAATACAAAGCGTCTCCGTTCTGGGGACTTCCTTGTTGATACAAATTCAGCCACCCAGTCTGCTTCTTTACTTCAAGTAACCAAACTTGAGCAAGTGAATGTCACTGTAACAGCACATAAGACATTGAATTATTGTCGCGGTGTAATCTCAGAAATCGACCTTCTGTGTGTTCCTGAAGAAGAGATCACATCCGAGCTGTCTAGACCAAAACGTCTGTGGTGCTAAAGCGGATCAAGATGCGTAAGGAAGGTCTAGTTGATCGATACGAAACACGTGATCCTTACCTTCAACTCGCCTGATCTGCCTAAGAATATTAAGGCCTAGGATACCTAAATTGTCCTGTAAGACCTTATATTCCAAACCCTATGCGATGCTTCCAATGCCAGCACTTTCGCTGTTCTAAGATGTCTTGTCTGTCGTGGCAGCCTCACATGTGCCCGATGCTCACAGATTGGTCACGATTGTGAAAATTGTACTGCTGCGCCTTTGTATATAAATTGTAAGGGTGAGCACCCAGCATTTTCTCGCTTGTGCCCAAAATGGAAAGTCAGAAAAAGAAGTGCAGACTGCAAAAGCTGTACTAGGAACATCACATATCACATGAAGCCAGAAGATTAGTCCAAAGCACACAGGTTCGACCAAATACATCTTACGCCAATGCTCTTAAAACATCTCGTAAAGTTGCCACCCAAACTTCAGTTGGAATGCAGACTCCACCAAACAAAACTCAACAGATTACAAGCAACAGGAAAAAAGAAAACCCAACCCATACAGTATTAAAAAAAAAAGAAACAGTAATTCAAAGCAAACCCAAAAATAACACTCAGAAAATAATAAATAACAATAGAAGCCCCAGCAATAGCTCTTTTGATGGGATGATTTCTGAATCTATGGATTCAGATAGTATGGAAAGTAGAGGAGGGACTGGAAGTTCCTAAGCATCTGCTTCCACATGAAACTAAAAAGCAGCACCGAAAGCCACCTATTTCTAATCATTCCAGTGTCTAAGTAACATCCCTAATTTTTATCTGCTTTTTTGTGAAAAAAGTATGGCTTATGCATGAGAGAATGCTGTAATTGTTCTTTCAGTTATTTTTCATACTAAATATAATTTTATTTAGGTATTTGCTGCTTTAATTTTTATATGCTGTATAATGATGAAGATGCATTTGATAACGTTTCTTACCTTCTTAGAATTGGGCATTCATTTATTACCTTTTAGAAAAAAGTAGTATAGGAATTTACCCTTTTCCCTTTTATGGAGGGGGGAAGCAAAATAGAAGTTTTTATGTATATCTTTAGTTTTTCAAAATTTCATTTTTAGAATCAAAAAGCTGAGCATGGTAAAATATATAAAAAGAAGTTTTATAAGAATTTATAAATTGATATGTTTCTAAATAATTTTTTAATATAATTTGTATAAGCAAAATAGTATTTTTGTTGTCTTATAACAATTTATTCCTGTGCGTTTTAATTTATTTATAATTTAAGAGGCTTATGTTGTAAAATATTTTCCTAGCTGTTTCATCTACAAGCATCAAATGAAGCAAGAGAACTTACACTTGTGCATGAGTTGCAGAGGATATCAAAAAAGTTGTCTGAAAGTGAAAAAATAAAAACAAAATCCATTAAAAAAGAAACTGCATCTCCAAATGGGGAAAAATCACTTATGTCGAATATTTTAGCCATTGAAGATGCAGCTGCATCTGGATTACAATCATCAGAAATATGCTTAATTATCAATCAAGAACTTAGCAGTTTAAAAGTTCCTGAGATTATAGATGTTACTGGAGGTATTAGACATCCCGAACTTGTATTAGGTTCTGAAAATATTTATTCTGTTTTTTTAGCTGACTTAAGTTGTACTTTTGGAGCTTCAATAGAACTATCTTCTATTCTTTTAGATATGGCTAGTAGAAGCTGGAATAATTCAAGAAAAAATATTAATGAATTAGATGTTAAAGTTTTATCTAAAAAGAAAATGTCATTGATTAGAGGGAATTTCAAAACACTTCAGATGTTGACTTCATTAGTAAAAGAATTCAAAAGTGTAATTGAGGAACCTGATTTTAATGCTGATTTGTTTTCTATGTTTTGGCCTACAAATCTAAATTTAAAATCATTTTCACAGGCCTTATTTATTTTTGTTGGCAATTTAGACTGTCAGAGATTCCGAGAAGAAATTAACAACTGGAAACGAGCATCCATTTTGCTTGAAGAATTTTCAGCAATGATTGTAGAGGAAGAGTTGAGAGAGGAAAGTGGAACTTTACAAAAAGATATTACTCGGGAAAACAAACTGCATATGACATACAAAAAATTATCCAAAGTTCTTAGGGAGCTACGAGATTGGTCTTCAGAAACTATTCGACCACAGCCATTACGATATGATAACTATCTAAGTAATCTTTTAATTCATCTGCATCAAGTTACAACTGCTGTTTTGGATTGCAAGAAACAGAGTCTGGATGCTGGTAATTATCTCTAAAAATACTCTTATTTCTATCTTTTTTTTATAATAAATAAATATGAAAGAAGGTATGTCAAATTTAAAAATGTGCAAACTTCTTGAGAGGATCTGCATTTAATTTCAATTATAAATGCTTGACATATTCCAAGAGATAGAACCAGTACATTCTTTTGCTGTAAGATATTTTTTTTTCTTGGTTCACTTTTAATTTTAATTCATGTTAGTCCAAGGCAGAATTCTGTATATTTTTTAAGTAAAAAGTCTTAATTTTGGCATAATAAATGTTCCCCCCCTTTTTTTGGTATTTGTGATGATAAGAAAAAAACATGAACTTATTTCTGTGAACCTAATTTTCAATTCTTAATATTTAATTGTATTGTCATTTGGAAAAATTAAAAGTCCACAAACTGGTATCAGGAGTTAGGTATACATATTAATTATTTCTTTGAGCAATTTCATTATTATGCTTTACTATTTGCAAAACAGTTTTATTGCCTATTGAGTAGTAAAAATATTTTAGAAATGATATTTTACAGTTAATTTGTAATTTTGATGACATATTTATGTGAACATACATTAATGCTATAAACTACAGAATATTGTATGAGTGTTGAAAATAATTGTTTTACTTATTTTTCTAAAGCTTTTTATCATTCAGATAGAATTTCTTTCCAAATTAATAAAAGACTGCTTCTTTATGAGTTTTTATTCAAAAGATGTTTGAAAAGTAGATTATTTTCTTCCTAATTCGTATGTGTCCTACTGAATTATTATCTAATTTTGCATTGGAAGAACGCTAATTTGTACTGTCTTTTAATCTCATTTAGGGCCTCTAGTTTACACATCAGATTTTTCCATTTTAAAAGAAAGCCCTGTTGAATTACTTAAAAAGATTATATTGCACAGTAATGTGACACCAGAAAAGTAAGCACACTATTTTTTAGTGCTCTAAGTAATTTATATTTTTATATTTTATATATGTTCTTAAAATTATGTATAATCGCAATACTTTTAACATTATATAAGATTTTAAAGGTTTATTAAATTATGTTTTGTGGTTTTTTTGAAGAAATTTATTCTGCCGTTAAAACAAACTGATTAATTTTTGTCATTTTAATAGGGCTTTGGGTAAGATTAAAAGTGTTAGTCAAATTTACAAACCTTTAAAAGTATGTGTAAAGAAAAAAACACCAGTAGATCAGGGAAGAAGGATTAAAATTAAAATTGAGTGAAAGTACTATTTTATACCATAAAGTTTTTATGACTTTTCTTAAAAAAATATTTTGCTAATATACCCTGCTTCCATAATTAATATGTATGAAATTTTGAATATATTTTATTAGATATATTCACATAATTTATTTATTTATCTTTTTGAAAATATGTTTGCTAATATCTGTGGCATGCTGCCACTAGAATTAATAGTATAAAACTGATGAGAAAATTCTTTTTTTAATAAGATTTTATTGTTGGTAATTATTTTGAATTGACTGTTTCATGTTTAGTTAGCAGACTGTTTCACTTAATGCAATTAATTAGTTCACCAGTTAATTTGTGCTAAGCAATGTTTTGAGTATTTTCTAGTGTTTCCTTGATAGTAGATTTTTTCCAGTATTTGAGGAAAAAATTTCGTTCTCTTTATTTATTGTTAAGGTTTGCGTGGCAATCTTTTGGTCATCAAGAGCACAAAATAAAATTTTAAATTCTTAGCAAGCACCACCCATTCAAGTTTTATAATCATTCGCCAAACTTCATATTATAAACTAGTTTTGTTTAAAAGATATAACTTTATTGAACTAAATAACAAACATTTATAATTTATACCTTTTAAATATTTTTTTTATGTATCAGTGTAGAATTTGTGTTTGTAATTTGTCTGTTAACTTATTATAATTGACAATATAATTTGAGTTGCATGCTCTTAAACAATTATCTAAATGTGAATCAGAAAGTTTTTAACATCAGATAAGTCATATTCGGAAACAATGTCTCACAATTAGGCGCTCGAGTAACAAGAATTAATCTTTACTGCACGTCCCTAAAATAGGATACTGATTTCTATTTACCAAGCTCCAAAATATTAAGTTTAATAAGATTTTAAAATAACATCATTTCACAAGCGTAGTATTTCTAATTTAAGTTTTCCATATTGTCAAGATGAAAATATTTAAAAATTGCTGTAGTCATGTTTTCTCCATTGGTAATATTAAAGGATTTTATAAAGAATTTTAAAATAGGCTCAAAATTTGCAAAGTCAACAAATCTAGAATCAAATTAAATTTACAATGGAGACGCTATTTGAAGATATAAGTCTGCATTAATATTATGCTTTTTCAGACTTACTGCCATTTTTTTTGGGGGGGAAGGAATTAAATTATTCTTAGATGAGACCTATTCAATTCTAACATTGACTTGAAGCTGTTGACAGAGCTGATCATATCAGCAATGTGATTATTGCTGACCTGTAATTTAAAATTTAGCTCATTAAGTTTCAATATTAAATCGGTCCACACACACACACACACACACACACACACACACACAAAAAAAAAAAAAAAAAAAAAAAAAAAAAAAAAAGCTGTTCATAATTTTTTTCTTGGAATGTTTTATTTGTGTTAATAAACTGATAAACTGATAAATCACTCAAGCATGTTTCCCTTGCTCAGCCAATGAACCTTGGTGTTCAAAAGAAGATCCATAAATTATGCATCTTTGTCATTTTCCAAAAGCAGTTTAAATAGTCTATATTACACACCACTTGTCTTCATTATTGAATTGATTATTTTAGTAACAACAATGATTTCATCTTTTATTTGATGATTTTTGCACAAAATGATTGCTGGTACACTACAAAGTCTGTAATCCGGACATCCATTATCCGGAATGATCTATAATCCAGACCTCAAAGCCACAAACTTTTTTTTTGTGTATGCTTTACGCATGCACGTTTACACACAAAAAAACGAAGCAACTTACATTGAGAGAAATGTTTAATAAAGTAAACAAATAAATATTTAGCTTTTTTTTTTTTTTGTAAATTTTGATACCCTTTAGATTATAATTGCTCTTTATTTCATAAATTATGGTTTCATATTTTTAATTGTATAATTTCTGCATGCCATCTTACCAGATTTAAATTGATGATCTATAATCCGGAATAATAAAGTCCCGACGAGTCCAGATTACGAATTTTGTACTGTATATAATGCAGTGATATGCAATAAATTTTGAAAAAAAAAAAAAAAAAAAAAAAAAAAGGCTTGTTGGCATAATTCAATGAATCCAATATTCATCCCTGTCATGGTTTGCGCATTGTCAATTGTTTTATTGAAGGTAATTTCTCAGTTGGTATTTTAACGTTAATCAAAAATGTTTTTATTGCAGAAGATAAATGTTTTCCTTTAAATGGTAGGATTTTTAGATACTCTTCTCTTATGGTAAAATTGTCAAAGATTATCGTAACACTTATTGCCAGTTGGGCTGTGTTGCGATGTAATGTGAATGAGCTCGATACACGTCCTCGTTTTAAACACAAAACTTATGTTAAATAATTGCACAGTACAAGTATAAACAAGAAAATGACATATAAAACTTATAAACATGAGAACAGAACAAAAATAGTGAAAAATAGACAGCATTCCAGCTGCCTTGCGAATGTGTTCATTCGAGTCCGACTATTCAACTGAATTCAATGTTCTTTTGGCATAGTTCCAAATGCGAAAGATTCAGGTTGAGTTGTTCTGTTCCGGTGCACCGGAACATACTCCCACCCTATCAGGCATTAGTCCTGATATATGGGCAAAGGTGCTAATTTATGAATGTTTCTTTTAAAAATAGAGTTTTTAGTTTTAACCGGGGCCCACCAACCAGTCCGTCTGCACCATGATGAAGTTCGACCACTTGTCCTAGTGGCCAAGAACCTGGAAGATGACCATCATCTAGTAACAGGACGATGTCTCCAATTTTCATATTCGGCCGAGTGTCCTTCCATTTCTTTCTGGTTTAGTAAGTAGAGTTTTACCGATTACTCTTTTACAGTGATATTTGGTTGATTTAATTGCGGCCTACCAAATTCCTCCAAAATGAGGAGATGCTGGAGGTATAAAGTGCCATTCTATTGATGCTTGAGTTAAATGATGAGCAACGGCTTCGTTCTTAGGAAGTGAAGCCCACAATCGTTGTATTTCGCTGAGCTTTCGATTAGCCCCAACGAAGTTTGTTGCATTATCGCTGTAAATGTGACTTGGAGCTCCTCGTCTAGCACTGAAGCGACGCAAAGCAGCTAAAAATGCATCAGCGGTTAAATCGCTCACTGCCTCGATGTGTAGTGCCTTAGTAGCGAGACAAATAAATAGAGCAATGTAACCCTTGGTTGATTTTGCTCCACGACCCTTGTTGAATTTGATTGAAATAGGACCGGCATAGTCCACTCCGCAGTTGAAGAAAGGCCTCTCGAGTGTTACTCGATGCTTAGGCAGATTACCCATAAGCTGGGATGCTTTAAATTTGAAGCATTTGATGCATCTGTGAACACATTTATTAATGAGCTTTTTTCCACCTATGATCCAATATGATTGTTTGATAATGTGGGACAGTAATGAAGGCACCAGCATGTAAATAAGTCACATGCTTTTCTTTTACGATGAGCTCACTTATCTTGTATTTAGCAGGTAGAATCACTGGGTGCTTTTGATTAAAAGACAATTCTGAATTTTGTAAACGCCCTCCCACCTATAAAAGACTGTTTTCATCTATAAATTGTTTTCATCTATAAATGGATGGAGGGAGTGTAGCTGACTTTTCTTAGGCAACGGTCTTTGATTTTTAATGCATTTCAGATCTTTATTAAAATAATCTTTCTAAACCCACCGAATTATGATTATTTCTGCATTTTTAGTTTCCGTGTAAGTGAGTGGAGAAAAGGAATCGGTTATAAGTGTTTGACATTTGCTATTGGTTTTGCACTTATTGATGAATCTTAAACAGTATGCTAAAATTCGTATAATCTTAGAAAATGATGAATATTTTTTAAATAAATCACTTGACATAGCACTATGAAATGAAAATATAGGATCAGATCTTTGTTCAGCTTTAATTAGATCCTTGATTTCTTTGGAAGCGGATTCCTCTTTCGGCCAGTGAGACGAATCCAAAAAAAGCCAACTTGGGCCATTCCACCACAAGTTGCAATTAGGAAGACATTTGGGATCAATACCACGCGAAGCGATATCTGCTGGGTTCTCTTTGGAAGGGACATGCCTCCAGTATTTTGTTGGAAGTACTTCGATTATTTGAGACGTCCGGTTTGCTACAAAAGTCTTCCATTTACGGGGATGCGCGGAAAGCCAGGAAAGTACGACTTTGGAGTCAGTCCAAGCGTAAACATCAAACTTATATTTTTTGAGAGTGTTCATGACTGCACGATATAACTTTGAAAGCAAATGAGCACTGCATAATTCCAATTTAGGAACAGATACTTGTTTGATAGGTGCGACTTTAGTTTTAGAAACTAAGAGAGAGAAACCTTTTATTTCATTTCCGTGTATTTGTTTGCAATATATTGCAGCAGCGTAAGCAAGTGTTGAAGCGTCGCAAAAGCCGTGCAATTCAAATGTGTCAGAGGAAATAAGCGTGACACCTCTAGGAACGGTAAAATGTTCAACTGCATTGAAAGATTTCTGAAATTTAAACAAATCTTCAGCAAGACTTTGTGGAATAGGAGAATCCCAGTCCCCTTTTGTAAGCCAGAGCTTTTGATAAAAAATTTTCAATACAACAGTACATGGTGAAATTAATCCTAATGGATCGAAAAATGCGTGCCGATTGGGACAAAATGTGTCTTTTTGTCAGCGGTGAGGTGAGTGCAAGTGTAAGTGCGGGTTTGAAAATGAATGTGTCTGTTGAAGAGTTCCAAAATAATCCTA